CGGGCCATTCTGAGGACATCTTTAGCACAGTTGGTGAGGCTCCGGGACCCACCCCATCCCTGGGCAGGGGAATCCTGCTCATGCAAAAGCTGTGGCAAATGCACCTTTGTGGGCCTGGGCAGGGGCAGGGAGGCATCCCAGAGCCGGGCCCTCCCCCATTCCCTGTCCCACTCCAGGACCCATTTCCCCACCCCTGAGGCCGCCGCCTCCCTGCCCTGGAGTCTGCCTCACCTCCCTTTCCCCACCGCCCGGGCCAGATGCTGCCGCCTGAGTCTGGGGACGTGTTGATGGAGGAGTACATGGGGAGCAGCGAGGACCCCCAGACCCTCAAGGCCCAGTTCCAGGAGATGATGGCAGACAGCCTCTTCGTGATGCCTGCGCTCCAAGTGGCCCATCTTCAGCGTGAGTTCGTCTGTGGCCCAGGCCTGACCGTCAAGGGCATAGCTCAGAGCTATGAGAGGTCTGTCCTGCCCAGGTCCTACCCACATCTTTTTAAACTTTCTTAGAATTTATTTGGAAGGCTGAGAAGCACACAGAAAAACAGACAGCACTCTTCCAGCTGCTGGTTCATTCCCCTAAATGCCTGAAACAGCCAGTGCCGGCCCAGCCCAAAGCCGGGAGCCCAGAACTCAACCCAGGTCTCGGGCCGTGAGTGGCAGGGCCAACTCCTGCTGCCTCCTCCTGCACATTAGTAGGAAGCAGCTGTCCCGAGTGACTCCGTAGCCACCGCCCCAGATGCCCTTCCCCTCCCGCTCTTCCTGCGGCCCCTGAGAGCCAGGCCCGTGATGTCCCCATCTCGGTAAATCCCAAGGCGCCTCCCCCATCGTGCAGAGGACAGGGAAGTGAGTGAGCTTGGGTGACTTTCCCAAAGCTACCCAGCTGGGAAGCCCCGAGGCCATGATCCCATCCCAGCCACTACCGCGCCCTGGGCCAGATCCAGCCAGGTGTGCACTAGAAAGTGGAGCCCCCGCATCTCTCCCTCCAGGACCCCACGCGCCCACCTACTTCTATGAGTTCCAGCACCGGCCCCACTTCCTAAAGGACAAGAAGCCGCCCCACGTGAAGGCTGACCACGGGGATGAGCTGGCCTTTGTCTTTGGCATCTTCTTTGTAAACCGCCAAGGTGAGTCTCCCTCCCTCCCTGGGAGCCTGAAGCTGGGAGTCAGGTGTGCAGGGTCTCAGGGTTCCAAGGGCTGAGCTGGGTTAGAATCCCAGAGCCTCAGTCAGCAGCCTGTGCCCCTCCTGCTCTGCCCACCTGGTCATGGGGTCCTGCGGGGAGCAGAGGCAGGAGTCTCAAAGGGGTATTTGCTTTCTAAAGGACTTCCCTGGCCGAGCCAGAAATGAGCCCGGGTCCATGGAGCAGGAGGCTGCACAGAGAAAAGGGAGCTTGGCCAGGGGAGGGTCCAGCTCCTGGGAATGAAGGGAGGGGCAGAGAACCAGCGTGGGAGAGCCGAGGGTCAGCTCCATCTGGGCTGGGAGCGAGGTGCATGATGGGCAGCAGGACTGGGGTGGCCCGAGCTGACCCTGCCCCTCCCCCATGCAGTGCCCCTCACTGAGGAGGAGGAGCTGCTGAGCAGGAGGGTGATGAAGTACTGGGCCAACTTTGCTCGCAGCGGGTGAGCCGACCCCCCCCCAAATCCCCAGGGACCTGGGACCCTCTGCCCTCCCTCTTCTGTGGGGACCTCACCAGCATCCAGAGACCTAAGTCACGTGACAGCGCCCTCCCCAGCTGCAGGACCCACTGGCACTCACAGGGACCGTGGGGCCAGGCACACTCTTCCCATCTCCCAGTGACCTGGGGTTGGTCTGCTCTGCCCATAGGTTCTCTATGGGGGGAGGGACAGGCCAGGTCAGAATGCCCTGTCCCCACGGGGAGTTGATGCTAGGGGGAGGTCGTTCTGCTGCTGCTTTTGGAAACCCATTCCCCTCCCCTCCTGGCCTGCAAGGTGGCCTGGCAGGACCCCAGATAGGTGCTCAGGGCTGGGCTGGGCAGGGCTCAGAGTGACCACGGTCCCCCGCTTCCTGATGTCTTCTCTGCAGGAACCCCAACAGCGAGGGCCTGCCGCACTGGCCCGTGTTCGACCAGGACGAGCGATACCTGCAGCTGAACGTGCAACCTGCAGTGGGCCAGGCCCTGAAGGCCCACAGGCTCCAGTTCTGGACCCACACCCTGCCCCAGAGGGTCCAGGAGCTAAGGGGCGCTGAGCAGAAGCACACGGAGCTGTAGCTGCCTGTGTGGGGGTGGGGGACAGGGGCTCCAGTGCAGGTGGGGCCCCGATGCACTCACACACATCCACAGAGAGATGCATTAGGCACTCTAACGTGGCCTCTCAATCCTCCCTGCCTCTGTCAACTCAGCTGACCGTTGTGGAGAACCACGGCTTGAGGTTCATTGCCAAGCCCGCCCTGGGTCTCTCGTGTGAGACACATTCGATGCACCCTCCTTGGAGCTGTGTTGGGCAACACCAGTGCCCACCCAGCTTCCTCAACACCCATGGGCCCTGGGCCCCTCCTGCTTCATGCCCCCTCCACCTTCTGCCCACCCTCCCTCTCCTCTCCTCCCAGTCCCAGGCCCTCCCCTTGTGGAGGGCGGTACTTTGGGGCTTTTTGCCCGCCCCTGGGTGCCAGTAGCCCCCCTCCTCCTCCCAGCATGCCCTGTGATCTCATATCTGTAAGTGATCAATAGAGGGTCTGGATGCCGGGAGCCACAGTGTCTTGATTCCTTCCGGCTGCTGCAGCAAAGGCGCCACACCCCGGGTGTCCGCGGAGCAGAAGTGTGTCTTTCACGGGTTCTGGGGGCCCAGACATCCAGGGCCAAGGTGCTGCAGGTTGCTGTGTGTGAGGGCTTTCTTCCTGGTTCATGATGTGTCCTCACATGGACATGCTCCCTTGGGTGTGACATCAGGACAGCAATCCCATTCACCTCCTGCAATCCTCACCTCCTAATACTAGCGCATTGGAGAAAGGGTGTCAACGTGACCCTGACGGGGACACACACAGTCACACCTCAGCACCCGGGCCCTCCACACCTCAGCCACCGAGGTCGTCAAGGGGAAGTCTCTCTCCCTGCGACTGTCCCCCCCACCCCCTTGTCATTTCTCACCCCACCTGCTGTCTGTGGCTTGAAGAGCTGGTGACGACCTCGCTTTGGTGAGAAGTGGGACTGGGCTTCTCAGAGGGCCCTTAGAGCCCAGGCCAGCCGAGACGGCAGGATTCCTGGGGCCCCGAGTTTGCTCTTACTCTCAGGGCACTGCACATGCGTGGGCCCCCGGCTGTCACTGCCACAGCGTGTCCACAGAGCGGTGTGTCTGGGGGACTTCCTCAATATACAATGGAGGAACCAGATGGCCAGGCAGACCTAGGGGAAGGGGGTCCCGTGCCTGGCTCCCCCAGAGCCTCAGTCCAAAGGGGTCCTTCCACCTGGCCATTGTCACCTCCCAGCCACCTGGGCGCCTCCCCCTCCATCCCCATGGTAACCAGGTGACTGCTTTTCCTCCTTGCTTCATTGTTGTCCCTAACTTTTCTCATCACACTGCTCCTCCCCTGAACCCTCTCTTACACTTGATCTTGGATTGCAAAGGTGCCAGTCGTGCTTACTCAGCCTCTTTCCCACAAAGCATTTTTCCCTATGTCGTGAAGAGCCTGTCCCCCTGGTACATGCACCCCACAAGGAAGCCCTGCTTTCCCCACGCTGCGTTTAAACCCAACCAAAGGGCCTCACTGGTTTAGGAATGACTGGGGTTCCCGCATTGCCTACTCTGGCCACCAGATGGCAGACAAGGCTCGCTCTTAACCTGGGGTAATTCAAACTTGGCAAAGGAAAGGGAACTCACCCTGGCTGGTGCATAGCATCTTCAGCACATCCTGAAGCATCTATTGAGCTCCAGCTGCATACACACCACTGTACATTTTTCAGTTCTGCATATGTACAGTATAATTCTCCAAAATAGGTTCCCAGGACTACAGCTGTATTGTGGGTTAATTTACATATTATTAATAGCAGGTGTTGCGACATGGAGAGTTAAGCCACCCCTTGGGAAGGGAACATCTCGTATCAATGTGCCAGTTTGAGTTCAGACTCCTCTGCTTCCTGCTAATGCATCCTGGGAGGCAGCAAATGGCTCAAGTGTTTGGGCCCCTGCCACCTATGTGAAGACCCAGATAGAGTTCCAGGCTCATGGGTTTGGCCTGGCCCAGCCCTGGCTGTTGTGGGCATTTGGAGAATGAACCAGTGGATGGAAGATTGCTCTTTCTGTCTATCTCTCTGTGGCTCTGCCCTTCAGAAAGGTGAAAATAAACATTTAAAAAGTTAGCATATGGTTAATTGGAGCCATCTGAGGTGTGCAACTTGCTAACTGGAGTAAATATACAGGCCGTGCAGGGGACCACACCAGCTGTGGAAGGCTCCGTCGCGCCCTGAAGTTGCCTCATGCCCCTTGGAATGCCCCCTTTGGAGTCTGCCGTCGGCCTCTCGGGTTCTGGCAACCACTGAATCGCTTCCTGCTGCCGTGGTCACCCCTCTCTACAGTAGCGTACAAATGGGATCGCTTGTGACGGGAGCCTTTGTGACTGGCTGCTGTCACTCAGCCTGATGTGTTGAGATCCGCCAGGCAGGCTCAGCAGAAAGCAGGCACCAGCCAGGAGCTAAGAACTCCAAGAAGGTCAGGGTTCACAGAAACCCGGGTGTGTGTGTGTGTGTGTGTGTGTGTGGCCGGGAGGTGGGCGGGGTTGCGACTTGGCAGCAGGCTGGGGAGAGGGCAGCTCTGAAAAGCAGGGCCCCTCTGCCAGCCCCAGGAAAGCCGCGGAGGAAGATTCGGGAAGCACTCCTGGCTTGTTCTCAATCAAGAGGGAAGCTCCGTCCTCAGGCCTTCCTCTCCGGCACTGGGGAGCCCCCGGAAGACGACCTGCCATCTTGGCACAGCGTGCCCTGCCTCCTGCCCCTCCCCCACCCTTCTCCACCTGGGGCAGCTGGGTTCCTGATGCTGAGGCCCAGGGCTGAGTCCTGCCCTCCCTTGGGGTGGGGTCTCCCAAGCCAGCAAGGAGACAGACCCCCTGCCCTGCCCCAGGAACAGGCTTCGGCTGGCACTGGTTCCAAGACTCGTGCTTTCCTGCGCCCCACGACCTCTCTTCCATCACCAGTTTTACAGAGCGAGGTCCAGAGCTGTGGTGGAACTGCATCAAAGTCACCCAGGAGGTCTTCCGGCTACGTCCCCACCCCTCCGCCCCCACCCACGCAGCTCAGCTGCCCGGTCTCACGGGGTGGGGGCAGTGTCTTGCGTTTACCCTGACACTTGCTGAGCCTCGAGGAGAGTGGGGCTCCATGAGGAAGTGACCCCAACACCCACCCTGGGCAGCCACAGTCCTGGCGCCGGGGGCAGGGCTACTGAGGTTCTTGGAAGAACATGACTCGGCCCCAGTGGAAAACAGGCTGTTTTTCAAGGTGTTAAATATCCAATGAGCAAGGGCTGGCGACTGGGACCCCCACGTCCCATCTCCGAGTGCCAAGGTTCAAGTCCCGGCTCCACCTTTGATGTCAGCTGTCGTTACTGTGCGCCCTGGGAGGTGGCAGGTGAACGTGCTCAAGTACTTGGGTCCTTGACACTCATGTGGGAAACCTGGCTTCGCCCTGGCCCAGCCCCAGCTGTTGCGGGCATTTGGGGAGTGACCAGCAGATGAAAGATTCTCTCTCTCTCTCTCTCACCCTCTGTCTTTCACCCTCTGTCTTTCAAATAACTAAAATATTTTTTTTAAAGTACTCACGCATTCTACAATTCGGGTGAAGATCAGAAACGTTATACCAAGTGAATGGAGCCAGATACTTCCATGCAGAATCTAGAACAGGCGGAACGGAGGTGACGGCTTAGTAGTTAATGGTTACAAGGCAGAGAGATGTGGCAGTTGCACAACACCGGCGTTAAAGCCCACAGAACTGCATACTTCACATCATTAATTCTGTACTGTGTGAGTTCCAGCCCCGTGGTTTTTTTTTTTTTTTTTTTTTTTTTTTTTTAATCAACTTCAGTTCCTCCTCTCCTGATTCAAGTCCCAGGCACACCTTTGCCAGGCAAGACCAAGTGCCAGCCCCCACCCCTGGGCTGTGGCCGCACTCAGAGTGGTGAGTCAATGACGGGGGCACCCTGTGAGGTGCACACGGAGATCAGTGAGTCGGGAGAGTTGGGATCTCAGCACAGAGGCCTGTGCTATCCTCGGGCCCCTCAAGGTACCGTCCCAGCCCTGCCCTGCCTCGGCCTGGCCATCGGCCTCAGCTGCGGGCCTGGCCACCAGCCAGGTGGTGCAGGCCGTGCAGGTCAAAACTTGGCCCTTCAGAGAGCTATGGATCGTGCCAAAGGGCAGGCACTGCTTTTTACCCTCCGCGGCTTCTGCCCACAGTCGATTGCAAGGAGCATGGAGGCAGTGGTCAGAGCCCGGCCCGGAGGCCTGGTCTGGGTGGCCTGTCTGTTCCTGGCACTTCCTGTCAAGGCCACAGGTGAGACACTGCCGGAAGGGAGGACCCGGGGCGGGGTGGGGGTGGGAGGGAGTGTTGTCAGAGTGAGTGGGCACTGAGACCCGAGGGGGGGCCTCCAGAGGAACAGTCCAGAGCGAAGGATTGCCACGGCTGTGCCCCCCTCTGGGCAGGAGCTCTGCCCATGCTATCGTGTCTGACCCCCCAGAACAGCCCCGCTCGGGGACAGGATTGTCCTGATACTTTGAGGGCCCAGGATCGGTCTCAGTCAGGTCATGGTGACAAGCGCATGTGCAAAGGATGGTGCTGAGAGGAAGCTGCCCCACAGTTCCCAAGGAACAGGAGGCCCAGCAGCCACCCAGGGGCACCCAGGGGAGCAGAGGCAACCAGGGGAACACATGGAGCGCGCCCACCCCGTGGTTTGCTGGGTTAGGCTTAGAGTTGCCTCAGGGAGTCAGGGAGGCTATTTCCGCCTCTGGGGCATGGGGCAGTCCCCAGCTATCTGGACCCAGGCCCTGGGGTGGGGAGAGCAGATGGAGGGTAGCCAGGTGTGTGAGAGCCCCAAGGAGGAGGGCTGCTGGGGCGCCCCTGTGATTTATTTGCATTTAACAGCCTTGCTGCCCCACCCCTCACCCACCCCTGTGCAGTGCAGTGTGGTGGGTGTGGTGCCAGGTTTCCTATCTAAAGACTTTGCCAGCCCTGGGAGGGGCAGCTCCTCCAGTTCAGCAAGGTCCCCCATGTCAAAGCTTTCTTTAAAAAAATATAAATATATTTGAAAGGCAGAGTTGCACAGAGAGAGGGAGACAGGGCAGAGCCAAGCTGAAGCCAGAAGTTTCTTCCAAGTCTCCTACATGGGTGCAGGGGCCCAAGGATTTGGGCCGTCCTCCACTGCGTCCCCAGGCGCATCAGCAGGGAGCTGGATCGGAAGTGGAGCAGCTGGGACTTGAATCAGCACCATATGGGATGCCGGCGCTGCAGGCAGCGGCTTAACCTGCTGTGTCACAGCACTGGGCCCAATGTCAAAGCTTTAGAAGACAGAGAATAAAGAGTACTCATGCCAGCGCCGCGGCTCACTAGGCTAATCCTCCGCCCAGCAGCGCCGGCACACCGGGTTCTAGTCCCGGTCGGGGCGCCGGATTCTGTCCCGGTTGCCCCTCTTCCAGGCCAGCTCTCTGCTGTGGCCAGGGAGTGCAGTGGAGGATGGCCCAAGTGCTTGGGCCCTGCACTCCATGGGAGACCAGGATAAGTACCTGGCTCCTGTCTTCGGATCAGCGCGGTGCACCGGCTGCGGTGGCCATTGGAGGGTGAACCAACAGCAAAGGAAGACCTTTCTCTCTGTCTCTCTCTCTCTCACTGTCCACTCTGCCTGTCAAAAAAAAAAAAAAAAAAAAAAGGAGTACTCATTAGTACTCATTGGACCTTAGCGGATGAGTGATCTGTGTTCAAGAGGCCAGCTCCAGGTTCCCAGGCCCTCATTCCACTGGCAGGTGCGGTTTGGCCCAGAGGGGATGGTGGTGAAGGAAGGGGTCCCACAGAGGAGGAAGCCAGGGGCCCACAGGGCCAGACTCACAGCTCACCAGGAAGGTTCACCAAAGTGTCACGCGCCAAGCGTTCTGAACAGAGCTTGGTGAACCAGGCGCTATGAGCACAGACGACGTGCCTGTCGCATGGACAATCCACCTTTCACCCCGACCCCCGTGGAGGCCGCAACTTACCCCATGGTCCCCCTGCTCCCCTCAGGGCCTGAAACAGCTCAGCCAGAAGTGGACACGGCCCTGGGCCGCCTGCGAGGCCAGCGAGTGGGCGTGAAGGGCACTGACCGCCTGGTGGACGTCTTCCTGGGCATCCCGTTCGCCCAGGCCCCACTGGGGCCCAACCGGTTCTCAGCCCCGCGCCCGGCCCAGCCCTGGGAGGGCGTGCGGGATGCCAGCCGCGCACCCCCCATGTGAGTAGTGGAGCAGGTGGTGGGCGGGGTCCTATGGCGGGGGTAGGGGGCTGAGCAGCTGGCCCTGGCCCCTACCTTGGCTACAGGTGCCTGCAGGACGTGGAGAGAATGAACAACGGCAGGTTCACAGTCAATGGGGAGCATCAGATCTTCCCTGTTTCGGAGGACTGCCTGATTGTCAACGTCTATAGCCCCGCCGAGGCTGCTGCAGGGCCCGGGAGGCCGGTCTGTAGCCCACAGGGCCCTGTCCACCCACCCAGCTCTTCCCTGCCCTGCCCTCCCTGCCCTCCCTGTCCCCAACCCATCCCAGAGGTCCCATGGATGCGCTGGGCTGGTGGGTGGGCAGCTGGGGTCCCAGCTGGTGGCTGCCCCCACAGGTCATGGTGTGGATCCACGGTGGCTCTCTGATGGTGGGCGCCGCCACGTCCCAGGACGGCTCAGCCCTGGCTGCCTACGGGGACGTGGTGGTGGTCACGGTGCAGTACCGCCTGGGCATGCTGGGCTTCTTCAGGTGAGGCACTGGCCCAGCAGAGGGCGTGGGCAGCACTGAGGACGCGCTGGGGACCCAGGGTTGGAGTTGAGAATCTGAGTGGAAGGACCCTTAGCCCCTGCTGCTGGCGGTGGAGGAGTGCTCCCTGACGCTCCTCCCCAGCCCAAGCTCCAGTTGTACGGTGAACTTGGCCCCTTGGGCAGGGTGTCGCTGCTGGGCTGCAGCCAGGGTTCCGATCAGGTATGGGGTCAGGGAATGACAACCTAGCCGTCTGCCCAGCTGGGCCTCCCACATCCCAGGCCTAGCGTGTGGACAACAATGGTGGCTCAGAGCCAGGCCAGACGCAGGGGCCAGAGGAGGCTCAGGCGTCCTGGTGGCGGCCTCAAAGCAGCCCAAACCTGAAAGACCGACTGCTGCTGCTGCACTCTGCCCCCAGCACCGGGGACAAGCACGCGCCTGGCAACCAGGGCTTCCTGGACGTGGTGGCCGCTCTGCACTGGGTGCAAGGCAACATCGGCCCCTTCGGAGGGGACCGCAGCAGTGTCACCATCTTTGGCGGATCTGCTGGGGGCACCATTGTCTCTGCTCTGGTGAGCTGCCAGGGGGTGGCCAGGGCTGGAAGGGCCCGGTGTGCCCAGGCCCCAGCTCCTCTGACGGCTGTGTCCTCTGCATCCAGGTTCTGTCTCCCATGGCCACAGGGCTGTTCCACAGAGCCATTGCCCAGAGTGGGGTCATCGGCATGCCAGGGATGATGGAGTCTGACCCATGGCCCAGAGCTCAGGTCTGTACGTCCTTCTCTCTCTGACCCCTTGACTACCTCCCGACCCTACCCTGGAGTCCCAGAGTCAGGCGGTCACAGGTAGGAAGCTCCCACTCGGCAGAGAGGGACCCACTAGGAGGAAGGAAGCATCACCCCAGAGGAAACAACTGGTGCAATCCGGTGGGTGGGCAGTCAGGGAGGACTTCCGGAGGAGGCCACCACCGAGCAGACCATGAGGGTGGGGTCTTAAGGAGCACTCTTGAGACATCTGTTGGGCTCCAGATTCCTACCCAAGACCCCCACCAATAGGCAGTGTGAGGAATAGGCAGACGGAGCCCCAGAGGGCCCCAGAGTGGAAAGTGCACCAGCAAAGGCTGCGGGCGTGACAGAGTGACAGCCCTGGAAGCGGCCATCAGCTGGGGCATGGAGCAGATTAGGGACAGAGCAGGAAGTGAGAGGCAGCGCCCGGGGATCTGGACCTTCTCCAGGGGCAGGAAGGAGCAGGGCACTGACACGACTGAGCCGCCTGGAGCGGAAGGTGGGTTGGAGGGAGTGACCTGGGAGGCCTCACAGGGTCTGGGCAAGAGAGGCCAGTGGTGGGGAGGGAGAGCATCGTGGGGTAGGGCTGGGTCCATGCCGAGGTGCAGGAGTGGACTGGGCATCTTAAAAATCATCTGTTTATTTGAAAGACAGAGTGACAGGGAGGGAGGGAGGGACAAATCTTCCATCCGCTGGTTCACTCCCCAAATGGCCGCAGCAGCTGGGACAGGACCAGGCTAAAGTCAGGAGCCAGCAACTCCATCTGGGTCTCCCACGTGGCTAACAGAGGCCCAAGCACTTGGACCATGATCTGCTGCTTGCCAGGCACCTTAGCAGGGAACTGGATCGGAAGTAGAATAGCCGGGACTCGAACTGGCACTCTGATATGGGATGCCAGTGTCATGAACCACGGCTTAACCCACCGCACCCCAAGACGAGTCCCAGATGATCAGGAACCTCGGCATGAGCACATTGCCTGTGTCTGGACAGCAGCCCCGGGCCCCCACACCTGTGCTGTGGCCTGCGCCGTGGTGGCCCAGACGGACTGTCTCAGCCACAGATTCTAAGTCCTTCCCCGCCTCCCCTGAGTCCTAAGAAAAACACAGCTTGACCCCTCTGTCCTTGAGCTAAAGTGGAGTCCTGCTGGTTGCGCATGCCCCGCCCGGCTTAGTGAGCTGGCCAGAAGCCGTCCCTCCAGCCTCCCCTGCCACGGACTCCTGGGCCCCAGCCTCAGTGTCCCCCACCACTCCTGGGCCTACTGCAGCCCCCACTGGGAGCCCTCCTACACATGCTGTCTTGCTCTCTGGGAACACTGGCAACCAGATAAAGACAGCGTACTCAGAGCCTCAGAGGGGAGCCAGCCCGGCACCCAGAGAGAGATGGTTTGCTATAAAGGAGAGGAGGGTGTGTGTGGAAAGACACAGTCCCTGGGGACCACCCAGGCTGCTGGAGCAGGGTGGGCTTCTCTCAGGTGGTGGAAGGTCTAGGGCCAGGCATAGGAAATCCTAAAGGACGCACCCTCCCTCTACCGGGGGCCGGGCCGGGGGCTGGAAGGTGGGGTGCTGGCAGCGAGGCAGGCAAGGCTCTTTGTGTGTCCCCAGAGCATCGCGAGCTCCCTGGCCTGCAGCGCCACCTCCCCGGCCGAGCTGTTGCAATGCCTGCGGCAGAAGGAAGGAGAGGAGCTCATCCCGACCAAGGCTTCGGTAGGCCCACCTCCCTGGCTGGGATGCTGTCCAGCTCCTGCGGGGGCTGGGGGGCAGTCAGCCACCCTGGGGGCAGGAAGGGAGGGCCACACGCCCCCCAAGGGCAGGGCTTGCCTTCTCCCGAAGCATCAGCTGCCAGGTCTCCGGATGGCCCCGACCCCCAACCCTGTGATCTCCAGCCCCCCTCTCCCACTCCGGCCTCAGCCGTTCGGGCATGAGGTTGAGTGGCCCCTGGGGTCCCATCCCTGAGGCTGGGTCCTCACTGTGGGGGCCTCCTGCTTTGCTTTCTTCTGCAGAATTTTTTTTACGCGACCTACACCTCTGATGGCACCTTCTTTCCCAAAAGCCCTCAGGAGCTCCTGGAGGAGAGGCAGTTCCACCCCGTGCCCTTCCTCCTGGGCTTCAACAACCACGAGTTTGGCTGGCTCATCCCCAGGGTGAGTGTCCTCGGCCACTGCCATTCCTCCTATTTGGTGGCTGGAAAAGCTGAGGTTCAGACAGGCTTGAGGGGCTTGCTCAGGGTCGCAAAGCCGGTGTATTCTGCTTGGGGACCAAGCTTTTGCACAAAGTGGGTTTGCAGGCAGTGCTGGTGTGTAGCATGGTCCTGCCTGGATCTGTGCATCAGGCTCTGTGAAGCTGGTTCTTGTGGCTGTGCGTGAGAGATGACCTAAGACTCAGGCTGCAGACGGCGTCCAGCCTCCGGGGGCCTCATGGGGCCAGTTTGCCTTCCTATCCCCTCCAGGTGCACAGAGCGCCACACAAGAAGGCCAACAGCACGCTTTCTTCCCAAGCATCTTGTTATTTCGCTCTTCCTCTTCCACCCCTGTTCACAACAATTCCTTCTCAATGTTTTTCTATTTCTTTTCATTTTATTTGAAAAGCAGAGACACAGGTCTTCCATCTGCTGGTCCACTCTCCAAATGCCTACAACTCCTGGGACTGGACCAGGCTGAAGCCAGGAGCCTGGAGCTCCATCCGGGTCTCCCCTGTGGGTGACGTCATCTACTGAACTTGATCTTCTGCCTCCCAGAGTGCTGGTTAGCAGAAACTTAGACTGGAAGCTCTTGCTTCTGGGATGTGGCTGTCCTAAGAGGCATCTTTTCTTTTTAATGATTTTTTAAATCTTTATTTACTCATTTTCATCTACTTGAAAGACAGAGTGACAGATATGAGAGAGAGAGATCTTCCAACCACTGGTTTACTTTCTGAATACCTACAACAGACCCTACAACAGGGTCAGGCCAAAGTCAGGAGCCCGGAATTTCATCAGGTCTCCCACGTGGATGGAGATATGGTCACTTGAGCCATAATCTGCTGCCTCCGGGTCCAGTAACAGGAAGCTGGATTGAAAGCCAAGGTGCTGGGGCCAGCGCTGTGGTGTAGCAGGTAAAGCCTGCAGTGCTGGCATCCCATATGGGCACCAGTTCAAGTCCTGGCTGCTCTACTTCTGATCCAGCTCTCTGCTATGGCCTGGGAAGGCAGTAGAGGATGGCCCAAGTCCTTGAGCCCCTGCACCCATGTGGGAGACCTGGAGGAAGCTCCTGGCTCCTGGCTTTGGATCAGCGTAACTCTGGCCATTGCAGCCAACTGGGGAGTGAACCAGTGGATGGAAGACCTCTCTCTCCCTCTGCCTCTCCTTCACTCTCTGTGTAACTCTGACTTTCAAATAAATAAATAAATCTTTAAGAAAAGAAAGAAGGCTGACACCGCAGCTCAATAGGCTAATCCTCTGCCTGCGGCGCTAACACATCGGGTTCTAGTCCCGGTCAGGGCGCCGGATTCTGTCCTGGTCGCTCCTCTTCCAGTCCAGCTCTCTGCTGTGGCCCAGGAGTGCAGTGGAGGATGGCCCAAGTCCTTGGGCCCTGCACCTGCATGGGAGACCAGGAGAAGCATCTGGCTCCTGGCTTCAGATCAGCACGATGCCGCTGGCCACAGTGGCCACTGGAGAGTGAACCAACAGTAAAGGAAGACCTTTCTCTCTGTCTCTCATTGTCCACTCTGCCTGAAGAAAGAAAGAAAGAAAGAAAGAAAGAAAGAAAGAAAGAAAGAAAGAAAGAAAGAAAGAAAGAAAGAAAGAAAGAAAGAAAGAAAGAAAGAAAGAAAGAAAGAAAGAAAGAGAGAAGAAAGGAAAGGGAAGGGAAGGGAAGGGAAGGGAAGGGAAGGGAAGGGAAGGGAAGGGAAGGGAAGGGAAGGGAAGGGAAGGGAAGGGAAGGGAAGGGAAGGGAAGGGAAGGAAAACAGAGGTGCCAGAGTTCCCTCCCAAGCTACACGCTGTGCCAAACACCAGCCCCACAATCACACAACGTAGGGCCCAGCCTCGTGGTCCTCCATGCCGGCATTTGGGCAGCTTCAAGGTTTTGCAGGGAAGCCAGCAAGGCAGGGAACATCACTGAGTGAAGACTCTCCAATGAAGTCACTCTCTGAGAAGCAGGGGCTTAGGACTCCACACAAAAGCTCATGGAAAATGGAATTAAAAGATCAGCTTATTTTAGCACAAAACATTTGAGACCAGGCGTGGTTTTTTCATCATCCTTATTTCCCATGAGCTTTTTGAATTTCCCATGTATCTTTTTTATGAAGACAAGACTCAAGCCGCAGCTATCATTTTGATTGCTCTAGGTCCCTTGTGTTTCCATGTAAGTTCAAGTTGCCAATTTATAAAGAAAAAAAAAAAGAGCAGTTGAGATTTTAAAAATGTATTTATTGTGGCTGGTGCTGTGGCATAGTAGGTTAAGCCTCTGCCTGCAACGCCAACATCCCAAATGGGTGCTAGTTTGAGTCCTGGCTGCTCCACTTCCACACCAGCTCCCTGCTATGCACCAGGGAAAGCAGCGGCAGATGGCCCAAGTACTTGGGTCCCTGCACCCACGTGGGAGCCCAGAAGAGGCTCCAGGCTCCTGACTTCAACCTGGCCCAGCCACAGCCCTTGCAGTCATTTAGGGAATAAACCAGCAGATGGAAGACTCTCAAGTCTCTCTCTCTCTCTCTCTCTCTCTCTCTCTCTCTCTCTTTCTCTCTCTCTTTCTCTCTCTTTCTCTCTCTTTCTCTCTCTCTCTCCCTCTCTCTTTGTAACTCTGTCTTTGAAGTAAATTTTTAAAATGTATTTATCCCTATTACTTATGTGAAAGGCAGAGAGACAGGGACAGAGGAGCAATCTTCCATCTACCGCTCCACTCCCCTAATACCTGCAGTGGCTGGGGCTGAGCCGGGTGAAAGCCCCAAGTGCAGAGTTCAGCTGGTCTCCTACGAGGATGCCCCCGGCCCAAGGACTTGAGCCATCACCTGTTGCTGCCCAGGGTGAGCGTCACCAAGAAGTTGGATTGGAGGCAGAGGTGGGATTCGAACCAGGGGACTCCAATGTAGGCTGTAAATGTCACGAGCAGAATCTTACCCACTGGGCCAAACGCCTGCCCAGAGCTGGGATCTGAACCCAGACTCCAGAGACTGTGCTCCGAAAGCTGCGATGTGTCAAACAGTATCTGACGTTTTTAATTTCCCCTGCAGCATCTTGGGTCTTAATGCCCTGCTGTGAAAATGTTGCCCAAAGGGTGGGCATTTGGTGGAGCAGAGAAAACCCAGCTTGCTACACCCGCATCCCGTATTAGAGGGTCGGGTCCTGGCTCCTCTGCTTCCAGTCGAGCTTCCCTCCCATGCACACCTGAGAGGTGGTCAAGGCTGGCTCAAGTGCGCTGTGGGAGACCCACACAGAGCTCTGTGCTGGCTTCAGCTTGCTCCAGCGCTGGCTGCTGTGGGCATTTGGGGAATGAACCAGCAGATGGAGATGTGTATGTGTGTGTGTGTGCGCGCGTGTGCACATGTGTGTGTGCATGTGTGTGTGTGCCTTTCAAATAAAATGAAACTAAGAACTAAGTCAAAACTGTTTTTAGACATTGAGCCTAGCTCCCTGTTCTCTACAGAGCTGCCATTGACCTCATGCCCAGGGAATTTCATGCTGCCATCCCCAGCGGCCCCCACCCCACCCCACGTGCTGCCAACTCGAGGCCCATCTCTCAGATGCAAGGCCTTGTGGGTTGGGTGATGCTTGGCTCCATCTGAGTTCAGGGGCCCAGGGCTGGGAGCGGGGGTGGGGACAGTGGTCAGCTGGACTGAGAGGCCTCGGTGTCCCTGCAGGCCTGGGGGTTCCTGGATAAGATGGAGCAGATGAGCCAGGAGGACTTGCTGGCCCACGTGAAGCCCTTCCTGACCTATCTGGTGAGACCAAGAGGGCAGAAGGAGCGCGGTAGGCAGTGCCCCTCCCCACCCAGGGCCGCCCACCTACCTCCAAGCCCCACGGCCCACCCAGGAACCCCCCAGGATGTGAATCAACACGGTTCTCAAAGGGAAACTCATCATCACCACTGTCACTGCAGAGCCTGCCCTTAGGAAGCACTTCCTACGTGCCGCGCTGAGCACTGGGGCAGGAGTCAGCTCCTTCAGTCCTCACTGGGGCTCTATGACAGATGGACGTTCATCAGTCCCATTTTACAGATGAACAAACTGATGAGGCAGAGCAGAGCTTGGGCCAACTCTACCTGACCCCAGAGCCTCCACCATTTCCATCATACTGTCTGACGTGGAGCCAGATGGAGCTGGAGTCAGACCCCAGCCCCAGGCCACCGCCCAGTTATCCCATCCCCTCTGAGCCCGTGCCTTCTGCTGCAGACGGGAACGCTGCTTTCCGCTCACCTGAGCTGTCGTAAGGAGGCATACGCGTTGCATCTGGGGAGTCTGCCAGGGAGCTGGTACCCAGGAGGTGCTCAGTCTACGCACACTTCCTCCCCACTCACGCAGCTTCACCACCGCTCTCAGGAGGGATGGGAGCCCGCATCATTTTCTCTTCCACTCCTCAGTTAATTTCAACTGATGACTCACTGGGGACTCCACACAGGCTGCCCAAGACCCCTGCCCAATGGGGACCACCCTTCAGAGGGGCTTAACCACTTGTCTCAGGTCACGTGGCCACGAAGCGGTCAGAGAGCCTGGATTTGACTCCAACTCTAATCTTATCCCACCCAGAGGAATAAGGGATAAGGACCTCCCTTCTAGAGGTCCGAGGGAGGCTGGGGGGCAGGTGGCTGGCCCCCAGAAGGGGAGCCGTGCCACGTGCCGGAGGCCAGGGCCAGGAGCTTCTTGGGGAGGTCTGCCGTAGTCCCGGAGCAGGCCTGCTCCTGCCCTCTCGCCCCAGGGTGTGCCGTCCGAGGTGATGTCTGCCGTCATTGATGAATACCTAGACAGCGATTCAGGCGCACAAGGCAGACGCCAGGCCTTCCAGGAATTGATGGGTGACATCATCATCGGTTTCCCCGTCTTCAATTTCTCCAGAAGCCTCCTAGGTAAGCCTGTCCCCAGCCACCTGCCCTGTGCTTCCCACTTTGGTGTGGGAGCTGGGACGGCATAGGTGGTGGCACAGCTCTAATAGGGCACAAGTTCCCCCAGTGCCCCCTCCTGGTCTAAGTGGCAGCATCGTGGACCTGAGAGCTGTCCCCAGCAGATCCATTTGCAGGGGAGAAAACAGGGGCTCGGAGAGGTGCAGCGACTCGTCAGGGGTCCCCCAGCCGCACCTGTCATGGCTCTCCGGGGGTCACTGGAGCCGCGAGCCTTGTCCTCATTCAGAGCTCCTCCTGGGAGAAAGGTCTCGCTTCCTCCACACCTGGCTGCAGCCCTGGACAACTCTGAGTTGTGCACTTTGTGGCCCTGAGCTCTGGGCCACCGTCAGGATTGAATGAGTGATCACACGCAGCACACGGAAGCGCGCTCCACTCCAGTGCTGGCTGCTGTTGGCTTCTGTCCTCATCCTTGATGTATTACGAGCTTGTGCCGTCAGGCCCGGAAAGCCAGCAGGCTGCGGGTGCCCGACTCCCAAGCCACCCTCTCTCTGCAGACTCCGGCAGCCCCGTCTTTTTCTATGAGTTCCAGCATCGGCCCAGTTGTTTTGAGAAGATCAAGCCAGACTGGGTGAAGGCTGACCACGGGGCCGAGAGTCCCTTCATGTTTGGGGGGCCCTTCCTCACAGACGAGAGCTCCCTGCTGGGTAAGGATGTATGGACAGACAGATATGCATCCCCTAGGCTGCCTCACCCCACAGGCTACGGCGGGGCTTGAACAGCGGTCTGGGGTCAGCACCAGGAGCCCTCGGGTCCCCTCCAGGCCCCAGATGGCCCTGACCCAGGTCTCTCCCTCCCATCAGCCTTCCCAGAAGCCACAGAGGAGGAGAAGCGGCTGAGCCTCACCATGATGGCCCAGTGGGCCCACTTTGCCCGGACCGGGTAAGTGAGGGAGCAGGCACATCTGGCCTTGGGCCCGGGACGCAGAGATGAGTCCCCAGGGGCCAACAAGGAGACCTTGGTCCTGGCTCATTCCTCCCACCCAGGGACCCCAACGGCAAGGGGCTGCCTTTTTGGCCCCAGTTCAACGAGTCGGAGCAGTACCTGGAGATCGGGCTGGTGCCACGGGCCAGCCAGAAGCCCAAGGAGGCCCGGATGCGGTTCTGGGCAGAGACGCTCCCCAGCAAGGCCCGGCAGTGGCACCAGAAGCAGCAGGGCAGGAAGGCCCCCGAGGAGCTCTGAGGTGAGGCCGGGGCCTTCTTATTTATTTTTTAAGATTTATTTATTTATTTGAAAGTCAGGAGCTGGCACTGTGGCACAGTGGGTTAAAACCCTGGGCTGAAGCACCGGCATCCTATATGGGCACCGGTTCAAGACCCGGCTGCTCCTCTTCCAATCCAGCTCTCTGCTATGGCCTGGGAAAGCAGAGGAAGATGGCCCAAGTCCTTGGGCCCCTGCACCCGCATGGGAGACCCGGAAGAAGCTCCTGGCTCCTGGCTTCAGATCGGCGCAGCTCCGGCCATAGCAGGCAATTAGGGAGTGAACCAGAGGATGGAAGACCTCTCTCTCTCCCTCTCTCTGCCTCTCCTCTCTCTGTGTAACTCCAACTTTCAAATAAATAAATAAATCTTTAAAAAAAAAAGAGAGAAAGAAAAAAGAAAGAGTTACAGAGAGAGAGAGAGTCTTCCATCTGATGATTCACTCCCCATTGGGATGCCGGCACTGCACGCAGCAGCTTTCCCCGTGACACCACAGTGCCGGCCCCGGCCTGGGCCTTCTTGGCTGGGCCAATCCAAAGTGTGGCGGAGAGCCAGCCTCCTTCTCCCCCGACGTGGGCGCAGGGCCCTTCTGCACCTCAGGGCCTTTGCACAAGCTCCTCCCTCCCCCTTTTCCTCTTGCCTCATGACAAATTCCTGTTCATTCTTCAAGATCCCCGGAAGACCCAGTCCCCCAGGAAGCCCGCCCTGCCTTCTCTGGGCCCTGTGGTCCTCAATCCGTATCAGTAGACGGTAGCACACAGTCCACCCTGGGCTAGCACTGTCTATGTCTGTCCCCGGGGGCCAGGGTCACTCTGTCACTCACACAGGGAGGGGGCAGGACCTGGAGGGAGGGGACGTTTGATGAGTGACACACAGAGTATGTGAGTGGTGGCCCTTCAGTGCTGAAGTCTTGCTCAGTTTGCCACAGGTTTTGTCGGCTCTGGCCAGGAGGCAGAGTCGCGCAGTGGAGGGGACTGGGTCCTGGAGGCATCCAGCCTGCAGTAGAGCCCTGGCCTCCAGGGGCTACAGCCGGAGGCCGGTAGAGTCTCCTCCTCTGCTGCCCGGACTTGGCCCCTGCACAAGACGGAGCAGACACACACAGCAGTTCTGGACGTCACCGGTTACAGCTCTGACCCTCAGGTCCTGGCACACGTGCTCCGCACCCCAGTGCCTGGGCTCCGCCCTTCCCAGGTGGGGGCGCTCGGCACAGCTCCCAGAGTGCCCACCAGGACCCTGCCTCGGTCACCCCAAGTTCCTGATGGCTGACGGTTACAGGGAAAGAATCCACAGCTGGGACCCGTTCTCTTCCGGAAAGTCCATTAGGACAGCAAGCAGGGACATGGTGACCGAAGGGCTCTGCGTCCTGTCCTGTCCTCCCTCGAAAGCTCGGCGGGTGGAGGTGGAGGTTGTAGTGTGGTGGTTCGAGTCCCAGCTGCTCCACTTCCTATCCAGCTTCCTGCTAATGTGCACCCTGGGAGGCAGTAGATGATGGCTCAAGCCCTTGGGAGCCTGCCATCCACATGGGAGACCCAGATGGAGTTCTGGGGTCCTGGATTCGTCCTGGCCCAGCCTGGCTGTTGTGGGCATTTGGGGGAGTGAACTGGTGGTGGAGAGAGCTCGCTGTCTCTCCCTGCTCTCTCAAATATGTAGTTTGAAAAGAAAAAAAGCTCACAGCGACTTCTCGTTCCCCTTTGGACAAGTTCAAATTCTTTATTTAGCATTGAACCCGCCCTGTTCTCATCTGCTTCCTCTCACTGGGGAAATTTGGCCGCACAAGCTTCTGAAGAGCCTGCCAAGTGGACAGGGTACCGATTGTAAGGTGCACGGGGCCATGAGGGACAGGAAGGAAGGGCCGCCAAGCTGAGACCTAAGCAATTACCCGGACTGGGTGGGGAGGGGAAGGGTGTTCTGGCACAGGGAGCAGCAGAAGCAAAGGCCAGGTAGGTGAGACGTGCTGGGAGACACAGTGTGGCCAAGAGATCAGCAAGGGCAGGCTCCTGGAGGCGTGGGAGAGCTGGCAAGTGTCGTAACCGGGTGGGATGCAAACACGTTTGTCATGTGCAGGAGGGCGACTGGAGGATGAGGGTGGCAGCAGAGAGCGAGGAAAGACCCGTGCCCAGCTGGGGACTGATGAGATGCGAAGGCGAGAGGGCAGCCTGGGGTCTGGCAGGAGAGGTGCTGAGACCCAAGCTCTGGTCTGGGCCACACTGGATATGAAAAGGGGCTCTGTCTTCCAAACCCGAGGGTGCCCAAGGCCTGGCAGGCATGGGGGAGTGAGGACACCCCAGGCTTCAGCGTCACCATTGTCACTGGTCCCTGGAGAGGGAAGCCAAACCTGCTGATGTGGCCTCAGCCAGCCGTCTCAAGCCAGCCCTGTCTCATGTCATGCTGTTCACGCAGGCAGAGAGAAAGGACTGGCACCACGCCTGCCTCTGAGGGTTCCGAGCCTCTCTCGTCTCTATTCCTCCTGCCTGGGGCCCCTGCCCCAACACTCGCTGGAAGCTCCCCTTCTGCCGGCCAGGGTGTCCTTGACAGGCTGATTCCCTGCCCAGAGGACCCAGCAGCCAGATGAGAGGAGCAAACAGCAGGCGCCACCCAGTCTGGTGGATCGCAGGAAGGGTCTGTGTGCAGTGTAAGAGGGTGGACACAAGGGGGCGCTGCAGGAACAGATATGCACACCTGGACCCAGCCGCAGGGACAAGCCCTAGCAGATACCCCTCAGCACAGCTAAGGGCACATATACCCAAGGCCAAATTTAGTTCCTCCCACAAGCATCCGTCTCATACACACACAGTCAGAGAGGGTTCCAATCCAGTGCCACTGCTTCCTGGATGTGTATCTTGAGCAAGCTGTTGGTCTCCTTCAATTTTCCCATCCATAAAATGGGACCAGTGATAGGGTTTCTGTCATGGCTGCTCTGCATGGAAAGGTCACAGAATAGTGTCTGCCCACATCAGTGCTCCATAAATGCCCCCTGGCCTGGGGGGGGCACGGACTCCAGTCATGCAGTCTGGGGAAAAAATCGTCCAGAGATGGGAGAATTGGAGGATGTGAGGGGCCTCGTCATTTGAGCATGGGCTTCTTCCATCTTAAAATCACTTCCCAGTCTGGGGCTGCCCAGAAGGGTTGGCAAGCACAGCTCTGTGAGGGTCTGAAGGGCAGCCTGGGTGTCCTGTGGGAGCCCCCCGGCCTCCCTGACACTCTCGGGGAAGCCACGGTCCAAGCCCTTGGCTGGCTTTGCCTGTAGCCTGCCCTCTTGGGTTTGTTTTTTTTGTTTTTGTTTTTGTTTTTGACAGGCAGAGTGGACAGTGAGAGAGAGAGAGACAGAGAGAAAGGTCTTCCTTTTGCCGTTGGTTCACCCCCCAATGACCGCCATGGCTGGTGCTGCGGCTGGCGCATCGTGCTAATCTGAAGCCAGGAGCCAGGTGCTTCTCCTGGTCTCCCATGGGGTGCAGGGCCCAAGCACTTGGGCCATCCTCCACTGCACTCCCGGGCCACAGCAGAGAGCTGGCCTGGAAGAGGGGCAACCGGGAAAGAATCCGGCACCCCGACCAGGACTAGAACCTGGGGTGCCGGTGCCGCTAGGCGGAGGATTAGCCTAGTGAGCCGCGGCGCCAGCCCCCTCTTGGGTTTTAGATCACCACCACCGCCTCCCCCGATCTGTCCCCCCACCCCGGCTCCCAGCCCAGCTTGCCCAGTCCCTGGGAAGGCCGATGCAACAACAGAAAGAAGGGGCAGGGGTTGTGGTGCAGCCATGTGGGGGCACCTGCCTCGCATATGGGAGTGCCTGGGATTGAGTCTGGTCTCCACCTCCGCTTCTGGTCCAGCTTCCTGTGAATACTCCTGGGAGGCAGCAGACGGTGGCTCAAGTGCTTGGGCCCCTGCCACCCTGTGTGGAGTTTCTGGCTCCTCACTTCAGCCTGGCCCAGCCCTAGCTGTTGGAGGCATTTGAGAAGTGAACCAGCAGATGGAAGCATTTTCTCTCTCTCTGTCTCTCTCTCTGTCTCTCTCTGTCTCTCTCTGCCTTTCAAATAAATACATCCCTAGCCGCTGCAGCCATCTGGGGTGTGAACCAGACAGTGGCCGATCTCCCTTTCTGTGTCTCTCTGTAACTCTGACTTTCAAATAAATAAAACTTTAAAAAAATAATTTTTCAAAAAATTTTTAAATAACAGAGCAAATCTTTTAAAAAGTGGCATTGACTCTCTGGCTCAGTTTGAGATGTCACCTTCTTAACAATATTAACCCATCCATGAGGATAGGATGTTTTCCAACTTATTTTTCAGATCCTTTTTCATTCTCTTTATTTCTGGGACAGGCAGAGTTAGACAGTGAGAGAGAGACAGAGATAAAGGTCTTCCTTCCATTGGTTCACTCCCCTTATGGCCGCCACGGCTGGCACTGTGCTGATCTGAAGCCAGGAGCCAGGTGCTTCCTCCTGGGTCCCATGTGGGTGCAGGGACCCAAGCACTTGGGCCATCCTCCACTGCCCTCCCGGGCCACATCAGAGAGCTGGACTGGAAGAGGAGCAACCGGGACTAGAACCCAGGGTGCCAGCGCCGCAGGTGGAGGATTAGCCTATTGAGCCACGGCGCCGGCCCAGATCCTTTATTTTTACTTATTTTATTTGAGAGAGCGGGACAGAGATCTTCCATCCTTTGGAGCACTCCCCAAATGCCTGCAGCACCCAGGACTGGGCCAGGTGACACCAGGAGCCTGCAGCCCCCACCCCCCCCGGGCTCCCCGTGAGTGGCAGACACCCAGCTGCCTTCACCATCACTGCTGCCTCTCAGGTGCTCCCGGGCGGGAAGCTGGATCAGAGGCAGAGCCGGGACTCAAAGCCAGGCGCCGTGGTACAGGATGGTAGCCTCCAGAATGGTAGCTCAGTCGAATGCCCGCCCACAACGTTCTTTTTCAAACTGTAAAATAGCCACAAACGTGGGAAGATACACCAACAACCGTTTCTACCGCCCTGTGGTGTACTCCACCACGCCTAACTTTTCATCCTCACAACAACCCTGTAGTTCCATTTCACAGGTGGGAAAATTGAGGCTTGGAAAGCTCACATGGGGAGCAATGAAGTCAGCTTGGACTCACAGTGGCCAGGCTCAGGGATCAACATCACTCATAGCATCGCCTGTTTTCCCTTTATTCAGCCAAAAACTTAGGAATGTTCTCGAGAAAACTCTACCAAGAGACACTGGGAAATAGCACACTGGCTTTCTGGGAGCTGATTCTGACCCGGAAGACAATTTCACACCAGGGCCACCCAGATGACCTGGCTCCTTTACAACATCCCCTGAACCTGGGTGAGCACCAGACGGGGCCCACATCTGTCCTGGGCACCCTGGTACAATCACTTCCCCTACGGGCCGGGTGAAAGGTTGCCACTTCCCTGCGGAGAAGTGACAAGAGTGGAGCAAGCTGTTGGCAGGCCTGGCCCTTGAAGCCCTCACAGAACTGGCCAAGGAAGCTCCCAGCTAGGTGGGGAAGTCCCTCGTGGCTGGCCCCCAGGGGAGACAGGTGCCGTCAACACCCCTGTTCCCCTACCCTCCACCCTCCAGCTTGGCTCACGCTTTGAAGAACACACTCCAGGGTGCTTAGTGTGGGTGGTGAAGCCAATTTGTCAGAGCCCAGGCAGCCACCTCCCCTCCCATGGCCGGGTGCCATGATCCTGTGGATGCAGCCAGCGCCCACGGGGTCCCAGAAGAAGGAGACAGGTGCTCCACAGAGAGGGTTGTACTCCAGGCCCAAGGAAGCGGCTAGTCCCTCCTGCCCTGGTCCTGCCCAGCTTGGAGTGCCAGCGTTCCATATCGGAGTGCCTGGGTTCAAGTCCTGGCACTGCTTCCAACTCCAGCTTCCTGCTAATGTGCACCCTGGGAGGCAGTAGGTAACAGCTCAAGTACTTGGGTCCTTGCCACCCACATGGGAGACCCAGATGGAGTTCCAGCCTCCTGGTCTTGGTGGTTCAGCCCCAGCTGTCAAGGGCCTTTGGAGAGTAGACTAGCAGCTGGAAGATCTCTCTCTCTCTCTCTCTCTCTCTCTCTCTCTCATCCCCCCCATCCCATCTTCCAAACAAAATGAAAATAAATTTTAAAATGTAAAATCCCACACTGTGAAATCTCTAGTAATGTTCACTAAAGAAAATGTGGAAAATACAGAGAAGAGTAAAAGGTAAAATACAGCCCAGGTTGCAGATGACCTGGCAACCCCAGGCTAACCACAGTCCCACCTGCTGTCACTGTGGATATCTTTGGAGAATTTCAGTGTGTACCCTCCATGACTAATCACATCATGTACAATGCAGAATTTCAAATTGTACCTTTCTCAAGTCGTTGAAACACCTCAGCCTTCTCTCTCTCTCTCTCTCTCTCTCTCTCTCAGATTAGACATTTGTGGCCAGTGCTGTGACAAAGCAGATTAAGTCACTGCCTGCAACATTGGCATCCCATGTGAGTGCCAGTTTGAGTCCTGGCTACTACATTTCCCATCCAGCTCCCTGTAATGGCCTAGGAAGGCAGTGGAAGATGGCCCAAGTGCTTGGGCCCCTGCACCCACATGGGAGACCTGGAAGAAGATCCTGGCTCCTGGCTTTGGATTGGCCCAGCTCCAGCCATTGCAGCCATTTGGGGGAGTGAATCAGGAGATGGAAGACATCTCTCTCTGTGTGTCTCTTTCTCTGTCTCTCTCTCTCTCTCTCTCTCTCTCTGAATCTCTCTCTGTAACTCTGCCTTTCAAATAAATAAAAATCTTTAAAAAATTTTTTTGAAAAGATTGAATTATTTATTTTGAAAGTCAGAGTCATACAGAGTGAGATAAGGTCCCAAGCTTGTTTCTCAAGTGCTGGTGGCAATAGCTCACACAGCGGGCCACGTCATGTTTAAAGTGCTTTACCAGGGGCCAGCGTTGTGGCGCAACAGATTAAGACTCCCTACAAGGCCAGCATCCCGTATGAGCACCGATTTGAGCCCTGTCTGCTCCACTTCTGATCCAGCTCCCTGCCAATGCACCTGGGAAAGCAGCAGAAGATGGCACAAGTCCTTGGGCCCCTGCCACCCGTGTGGGAGACCTGGATGAAGTTCAAGGATCCTGAATTTGGGTTGGCCCAGCCTCAGCTCTCATGAACATTTGGTGAGTAAACCAATGTTTGAAGGCTCTGTCTTTCCCTCTGTTCTGTAACCCTGCCTTTCAAATAAATAAATACATTTTTAAAAAAAAAAAAGTGCTTTACCTACATGAACCTTCACTACAACCCTGAGAGATAAGTACTAATCAATTAGATAAGTATGCTAATTTGTAGAGATTGGAAACACTGAGATTCAGAGAAGCGAAGTGATTTGCTGAAGATCACACAGCCAGTAAGTGGCAGTGCACTAAGATACGCAGTGTGGCTTATCTGCGGTCCCCACTCTCCCCTTCTTCCCCCGTCCCCTCCGCTTGTGTTGGGGTGAGGCTGTTGTCAACAAGGCTGGAGGACACTCACTGTAAACGGGTTCTGTGTGCTTTGGATGGCCTCCCAGACCCAATTTCTCGGTCAAAGGGCGAAGGCAAGGTTAACGCTCTTGCTCCATGTGGTTCGGTAACTGGGAAAGGCCATGTCGCTCACGAGCTGAAGGCGAGGGGGCGATGGGGCGGGGACACTGACTGTGGCCTCCCTGGTGGACCTGGAGTCTCCAAGCCACAGCCGCCCGTAAGAGTTTCTTAGACACAGGTCTGAAGGCCATTTCCAGGATTCCAGGGCCCCCAGGCTGTTCCAGCTGGAGCAGGTGTTTGCGTGCTGTGCCAGGGAGGGGGCAGGGGAGCGAGCTGTTTCTGCGCCATGAACTCTCACCCACTTCCCTCCACTCAAGGCCGTGGGCATCTTCTTCATAAGCCCATGGCAGGGGTGGGGGGGCTGCCCACCATGAGGTGCTCGGCCAACCAGAGCCTGAGCCCACCCAGGGGAACACCTTACCTTATCAGGGTGGGGGGCACACCCCTGCTGGAGCAGGGCCAGGACAAGGATCTCCCATGTAGATCCTGCAGGACGGGTGGCCAAGGGTCAGCGGGGTGTGGAGCAGGCCTTCTTCAGAGAGACACAGAGCCTGGGCAGCAGTGACCGGGGGGAGATAGCACACTCCTGGGGGCCGAGAGGGGCTACCAGGATGGCAACTGTGGGAGAGGGGTCCCAAGTACAGGTTCCCTCTGAAGGCCCATGAAACTGACCATGACAGGAGAACGTGTTAGCCATCCACTGGTGTCCACAGAGCCAGCACAGAGCCAGCGGCCCGGGGTCCCAAGACCTGCCCTGCTCCTCACCCCTTGCCCTTGCCGGCTTGGCAGCCTACCAGGGCCCCTTTCCCCAAAGGTGGACAGGGGCTCCAGGCTTTGCCAGGAGACAGGAAGAGGAGCAGCCTTACTTTGGAATGCAGGTGGAGCTGTCCTCTCTCCCTCCCCGCCCCCAACCCTTGCTCCTGCGACTTTAAACAGCAAACATGCCTTCCTTTGCTGGTTAACCCTTTGCCAGCTTTTCTTCCGAAGATTCCTTCTCGTCCAGGGAAACTTCCTTGCCACCGCCAGGCTCTGGATGCCCCCTGGGCTCCCATGTCCACCCAGACTGCGGTGAACCTGCAGACTGGTCGCCCCCAGCTCTGCTCCCCCGAGCTGGGCCGTGAGCCTGTGAGGGCAGCGGCCACGTTGACATCCCAGGCCGGGCATGGAGTCCGCTGCTCCCTGATGGTCCTAGCTGAGGCATCTGGGATTTGTGAGGAAGGACAGGGAAGTGATTGTTTGAGCAAAGAGACCCTTCTAGCCCCAGAGAGGAAGCCCAGGGCCGCGTGGCCAATGGGCCAGGTGCTCTGCTCCGACCTTAGCACCTACTGTGCGCTCAGAGCCTGACTCACACTGGTTCACCTTCAGGCCATTGAGCAAACCAGACAGGGATTGCAGGCCGGCCAGTCGCTCGCAAGAACCAAGAGCAGCCAGCGTCACCTGTCACCCCAAGGCAGGGACAAGGCTGTGGGCTGGACAGAAGCTGCTCCTAATTCCTCCTGCCCCAGTACCTGGGGATTAAGGGAAGATAAAAGTGGGACTGCCTGTGTTCACGTACTGCGGCTACCACCTGACACCCACAGTGATGACAGCACTCCGGCCCGTGGCCGACGCCAGCTGGAGCGTGAGCTGGAGCCTGCGCCTGGTCCTCGCCCTCTGCCTGATGGAGCAGACAGCCCTGGGTAAGACCCTCAGCCCTGCCTGAAGGTGTCAGCCCGCAGGGGTACGGGGACCCAGGGTCAGGCCCCTGCTCAACCTCTCCTGGGGAGGGCAGGGCGTGAGCGCAGACAAGTGCTGGGCAGAGGAAGAGTGACACTTCCAGGTGCTATTCCCTCCCCCAACCCCCCCCCCCCAGCCCCGCTGGAATTTCTGCACAAGTCCACAGGGCTGGGTGGAAAGTGAGGAATGCCAGGACTGACACCACACCGGGCGGGCGGGGTGGGGGGTGGTGAGAACGTGGGGGGGGAGTGTATCTTTCCCGCCTTCCTCCTCTCAAGCCACAATCTTGCTTCTGCCTCCCTCTCCCTCCACAGGCCTCTTGGCCACCTGCAAGTTATTCTCCTGGGTCTTTGTTTCTTTTTAAAATCATTGTTACAGTTTTTACAAGTGCTTGTTAAGCTAGAAGATACATCCAACATGATGCACACCTGCTAGCTATACAGTTAGGTATAGCAGATATGACATCCTTTATATAATAATATGATATGCTACATGTAACCACCATCCAGATCAAAATCTGGGACATTTCCAGCTTCCCGTGTCAGTGCCTCAAAATTACCCTGGTGACCGTAAGTCACTTTTGCCTATGTGAATACATCATTTTTTAATTTGAAGGAAAGCTTGCTAAAACAACTTCTGGTATTCTGGTGCATTTTAGAAATCTTTTTATTGTACAATTAGACATAGCTGTGATGCTAGCACGTACATAATTAATACTTTGTGCTGTTTTTCACTCAGAATCTTACCAAAAGCAGTTTGTAGTTTGGGTTTCTAGCTATGTTTACTTTGCCCAGTTATAAAGGATGCTTCCAGTGTTCCTTAAGGTAAATAGAGGATGACGATTCAGAAAGGTTGTTGCTTTCTGGTTCTGTTTTCTAATTAAGAGACACAGAGGTGGCCGGCACCATGGCTCAATAGGCTAATCCTCCTCCTGCGGCGCCAGCACACGGGGTTCTAGTCCCGGTCGGGGCACCGGATTCTATCCCGGTTGCCCCTCTTCCAGGCCAGCTCTCTTCTGTGGCCCGGGAGTACAGTGGAGGATGGCCCAAGTGCTTGGGCCCTGCACCCCATGGGAGACCAGGAGAAGTACCTGGCTCCTGGCTTCGGATCAGCGCTATGTGCCAGCCGCAGCGCGCCGGCCACGGCAGCCATTGGAGGGTGAACCAATGGCAAAGGAAGACCTTTCTCTCTGTCTCCCTCTCTCTTACTGTCCACTCTGCCTGTCAAAAAAAAAGAGAGAGAGACACAGAGATAGCTCCCATTCACTACTTCACTCTGCAAATGCCCACAACAGGAAGCCAAGATCTGGAAACTCCATCCAGGTCTCCCACATGGGTGCCAGGAACCCAGCTGCTTGAACCATCACCACTGCCTCCCAGGGTCTGCAATAGCAGGAAGCTGGAGAAAGGAGCCCCAGCTGGATATGGAAGCCACACCCCGAGCTTCTTAATCAGTGTCTATTTTAATTGCCAGGCCAAACACCTGCTCCAAGGTTTCTGCTTTGATGTGTTTCTACTCGCACAGGGGAGGGACTCTGAAGTGGAATTATTGAGGCATATGAAATTTTCACGGTTCTTTATACATTTTGCCCAACTGTTTTCCCAAGACACTGTGTCAATTTGTCTTCCTCCAGCAGCATATGTGAATATCCTTCTCACTGCATCTTCACCGGAACTGGGTGCTCTTGTTTTTTAATTTATTAGGTAGAAGTTACAACTCCTGGTTCTAATTAGCACTTTATGACTACTAGGAAGGCTGACCCTGATTTTCTTTTACAAAAAAATTTATGGAGCCAGCATTGTGGTGTAGTAGGTTAAGTCTGCATGTGGTGCCGGCAATCCCACATGGGTGCCGGTTTGAGTCCTGGCTGCTCCACTTCCCATCCAGCTCCCTGCTGACAGCCTGGGAAAGCAGTGGAAGATGGCTCAAGTGCTTGGGCCCCTGCACCCACATGGGAGATCTGGAAGAAGCTCCTGCCTCCTGGCTTTGGCCTGGCTCCAGTGCCAGTTGTTTCAGTCATCTGGGGAGTGAAGCAGCAGGTGGAAGATTCTCTCTCTCTCTCTCTCTCTCTCTCTGTATGTGTGTGTGTGTCCTTCTCTCTCTCTCTCTAACTCTGACTTTCAAAATATCATAAATAAATCTTTTATTTATGAATAGACCATCTTTCCCTGCTTTCCCAGTCTCCTTAGCAAGGAGCTGGAGCAGCCAGGACATGAACCCTGTGCTCACATAGGATGCCAGCATTTCAGGCAGTGGCTTAACCTGCTGCACTACAGCGCTGGCCCCTGCCCTACACATTTTTTGGAAAGCTGAGGTGAGATAACATGTAGAAAGTAGCACAATGCTGGCTTACAACAAAAGACCCATGAATCATTGCTTTTGGCTCCTCCATCATGGGTAACTGCTGGACTCAGGGAAAATACAGGAAGCGTGACAGATCTCAGCCTCCTGGCTCTGTGCTGCGAGGCTGCAGGCTCTCACTGCCCCTCTCTGGGCCCCTGGGCCTCCCTGGCTCCCCCAGGTTGTAAGCAGCCCATGTGAAAAAGCTTTGCAAACCATAAAGAGCTGCACACACACAGGAAGGTTGGGGTGGCCGCTTGCCCCGATGACCTGCCTGTGTGCCCAGATGGCCACCATTACAGTTTCTCCTTTGTGCCCCGAGGTTGCTTCTGTAAGACCTGGGGAGCCCTGGGATGTGAGCCAAGGGACAGCCTTGGCAGCTGGCAGCTGGGAGTGTGGCCGTGTGCTCTATCATACCAATTCCAAATGCTCCTTCAAAATCCAGTTGCATCAAAATCTCCTGGGGAGATGTGCACTTATGATTTCCTGATGTAACCCTGAGGTTGTCCTTCAGAGAGCATGAGGCAGGACCTAGGAATCTGTATTTTTACAGCAATCTCTAGAAGATTCTGATGCACGGCCAGGATCAGTAACTTTTTGGATCAGATTTGCTTTCTGCCCCCAAAGACCGAGGCACAAAACAATTCCATTTGATAAAGGGGAGAGGGAGAGAAATTGACTAGAGCATTTCAGGAAGGAGCCATAGGCAGAGGCCAGATTCAGTTTGTCCTACTTCATATCTATTCCATGAGGGGCATGTATGCTTGTCCCATGGACATGTGAGTGTGCGTGTGTGAGCTATGTGATTGCTGCAGGTGGATATGTTGTCATCTATGTGTAACCACGCTTCTGTGGATGTGTAGGCATGCACACGGGCATGCCCTTGACTTGTGCTTCTGCATTTTTCCTTGCAGATGAGCCATGCTCATGCATACCTAAGTATGTGTGATTTGCATGTACATGTGAGTATGAATGTGAGTGTGCATGAGTCAGAATACACATGTTTGTGACTTCTGCCCAGAAATATGCCAGGTAAATGTTAGCACCAAGAAAAGAGGTATAGCTGTATTCATATCAAACAGGAATTAAAATGGGTTACACAGTTTTCGACATTAGCTGATACAAGAAGAAATAGATCCTATAGCAGACATGAACTTTTATGTACCTACTAACACAGCTTTGAAATCTTAAATCAAATAATGAAAGAAAAATTCTGGAAGAAACACAAGGAAAAGTGGGCAAATACACAGCTGTTAGGAAAAGCTTAAAGCTTTTTGCTTGTTACAACAGCAGCAGCTGGGTCTTCCCAGGGACCAACCAGGGTCCCACTCATGGCTGCGAATGACTGAGCTGGAGTGACCCTTCACTCCCTTCTCTCCCCAGGTGCCTTGCACACCAAGAGGCCCCTAGTGGTCACCAAATACGGGACCCTCCAAGGAAAGCAGATGCACGTGGGGAAGACGCCCATCCACGTCTTCCTAGGAGTCCCCTTCTCCAAACCTCCTGTGGGTGCTCGCAGATTTGCTCCCCCAGAGCCCCTGGAGCCGTGGAAAGGAATCCGACACGCCACCACCTACCCCCCTTCGTAAGAACCGGGGAACGCCCGTGGGGAGTGGGGCAGACCCTGAGGGGGGTGCTTTGAATCGCTCACTGAGAACATAGCCTGTGACCGCAGGCAGGCAGTGTCCAATTATACAATGAGGAGTTTCATCCAGATGGTCTTTTAAGGCACGGATAGTGCTGTTCTGAGTTTCCCATGGGAAAACTCCAGGCGTGGGGTAAGTGGTCATGAACTGTGCCCAGGACCTACTGGGGAGTTAAATTTCCTAACCCTGGCTGAGGAGCGAGGATCTCTCATACCCCTACGGCCGAGCCTGACCTGAGCTTGCCTTTCCCCTGGAGTTTAAGCACAAGCACTACCATCCTTTCCCTGCAGAGGGCGTGCCAAGATGGAAAATGGACAAGTCCTAGTTCAGTTTTTATTTTTTTTTTAAGATTTGTTTATTTTATTTGAAGGAGTTACAGAAAAGGAGAGGCAGAATCAGAGAGAGAGAGAGAGAGAGAGAGAGAGAGATCTTCCATCTGCTGGTTCATTCCCCAAATGGCCACAACAGGCAAAGCCACGAGCCAGAAGTTTCATCTGGGTCTCCCACAAGGGTGCAAGGGCCCATGTACCCCGACCATCTTTTTTTTTTTTTTTTTTTTTTTTTTTTGACAGGCAGAGTGGACAGTAAGAGAGAGAAACAGAGAGAAAGGTCTTCCTTTTTTCCGTTGGTTCACTCCCCAGTGGCCGCTGCGGCCGGCACACCACGCTGATCTGAAGCCAGGAGCCAGGTGCTTCTCCTGGTCTGCCATGCGGGTGCAGGGCCCAAGGGCTTGGGCCATCCTCCACTGCACTCCCGGGCCACAGCAGAGGGCTGGCCTGGAAGAGGGGCAACCGGGACAGAATCCGGCACCCCGACCGGGACTAGAACCCGGGTTGCCGGCGCCGCAGGCGGAGGATTAGCCTATTGAGCCACGGCACTGGCCCCAACCATCTTCTACTGCTTTCCCAGGTGCATTAGCAGGGAGCTCGGTCAGAAGTGGAGCAGCCAGGACTCGAACTGCTCCCCAACTGGAATGCCAGTGCTACACCACAGCGCCAGCCCCCTCTATTTCAGTTTTAATGTCCCAGAGTCATGCCACCATTTCCAGCTGTGCTCAGGCCCTCAGTCACACAGCATATTGGGACAATTATTGTCCTTGGAAGTATGTAACTTGCCACTGTATCCAGAACAAGTGTATTAAAGCTATTTCAGATCATTGAGTGATCTGTCCAGAACGTTCTGCGGCAGTCACCAGCAATGCTCAGCATCGGTTGGTCAAAGCACAAGTTTTAGAAAAATATCTACTGTGAGAACCTGCGCATCACAATATATTTAAAAAAAAAACAACAGCTATCAGTCTCGGTGCCTAGTTGTTAAGCATGGGCTTACGCTGCTAGAACAGCTGGAACACCATGGTGTTCACTGCCCAAACACTGGCTGTCACTGAGCGACTTCAGGCATGCTGAACATTCTGTGACTATTATCGGGAACTCGAAGGATCTGGTGACAGGCCTGGCATGACCATCGTTGGAAGCCTGAGCATCAGGGGATTAGACATTAGGGTGTCCATTGCACAGAAGCTGAGTGCTGCTTGTTGAGTACTGGCCACAAACTATGAGAACAATGACGGTTTGAACACAGAGCAGCAGGTGGAGGATTCTGAGTTGCTGGGAATGGCCCAGGGGGTAGGTGGTTAAGGAGAGGCAGGGAGAAAGGAGGATGCTCCAGAGGCGGTGGCTTCTATCAGAGTAACACAGTAGAGGTGTTGGGAAGAAGTCGGGTTCCAGGTTTATTTTGAAAATAAAATGGAGATGATTTGCTGGAGACTTGGATGTAATTCCCCACAAGGGAAGAGTCCGATACTGAAGAGTCTGGAGCCGGAGCAACCAAGGGAATGGAGTACTGTTTACCAAAATGGGGGAAACTGTAGCAAGAGTGGGTTTGAGAAAAACAAAAGCTCATTTTGGAACATGCCAAGTCTGACACGCTGAGTGACGTCTGCGTGGAGAAGGGAGCTGGTGGTCAGACAAAAGGGGCTGGACATAAACTGGGCATCAGCGTGTCAATGACAACAGCATGTCAGTGGTGTCAAGCCCTGGACCTGGGTACAAAAAATCTGTGTAGAACAGTCAGGCCGGCACTGCGGCTCACTAGGCTAATCCTCCGCCTAGCGGCGCCGGCACACCGGGTTCGGGGTGCCGGATTCTGTCCCGGTTGCCCCTCTTCCAGGCCAGCTCTCTGCTGTGGCCAGGGAGTGCAGTGGAGGATGGCCCAAGTGCTTGGGCCCTGCACCCCATGGGAGACCAGCAGAAGCACCTGGCTCCTGCCATCGGATCAGCGTGGTGCGCTGGCTGCAGCACACCGGCTGCGGCAGCCATTGGAGGGTGAACCAACGGCAAAGGAAGACCTTTCTCTCTGTCTCTCTCTCTCACTGTCCACTCTGCCTGTCAAAAAAAAAAAAAAAAAAGTCAGAAGAGCTGAGGATCAAGGATCCAGGACTGGGCTCTCTCATGCTTATAGCTGAGCCAGAAGGAGGAACTACTGATGAGATGGCAGGAAAATCAAGAGAGACAGGCGTCACGGAAGCCAGAGAGGCAACACTACTCAACGAGAGCAGCTTGGTGAGCCCAGCGGAAGGGCTGCCGGGGCAAGTAAAGCAACAACAGAGATTTAGCAAGATGGCGGTCACAGGTGACCAGGACAGGAGTGGCTCTGGTGGTGGGATGGGGACAGAGGCCTCAGGCTCTCCATAACCCCAGTTCCTGGCTGGCAGAGCCCTGGCTCTCCATGTTGGATGTGGTTTATCAGGTAGCACCCTACACCAGCCTTAGCTGAAAGTGACCCGCAGAGAGAGGTGAGCCGCCTGCTGGTGACCTTAGAGAGCAGGGCTGGGGTAGAGGGGAGGACAGGAGAGTTGCTCAGGGGGTGGGGTGGGGGGAGAGGGGTGGATAGGGCGCGTTGAAATGGTGTTGGGAAGGCCTGATCAAGATGGGGTGCATGTGATGCTGGGGTACAGGCTGGGACAAGAGGGGCAGGAAGCAGAGGAACAGGTAGGCAAGGTTTCCTGCACACAGCCAAAAGGGTCCAGCCCCAACCCAAAGGAGCTGGGCCAGCAGGGAGAAAAGGTGAGATGTCCAGACAGCCCATGTTCCATTAGTTCCTCAAATGGGCACACAGGACAAGGGACTGGGCTGTGAGCCAGGACTCAGCAAGTCCACCCTCAGAGACAAAAACAACCAACTGAAGTAACTCCAACCAGTATACAGTCTGGGCCATAGCACTTGGTGGGGCCCAGAGGGGAACGTGTCCAGCAGAGGGCACTCCCTGGGCTGGGTCTTAAATACCCCAATGAGCAGGAGTTTGCTGGACAGAGCAGGCTTTTGGCAGAAAGGCGATAGGCACAGGAGTCTTGGAGGTGGGAGGTCAGGCACCATATATTTCTTCAGCAAAGGGTGCTGGGGAGGAAATGACTGGAGGGAGAGGAGGCCCTGAGTCAGTCTGAGTGACCCCCGGCTGGTTTTGAGAAGGGGAGTGACATGGCTGCATTTGTGTTTTGTATCAATCCCTGGAGAAGGAGTATGAAGAGGTTGGGTGGAGTCCAGGACTGAGACAGTGGTGGCCTAGCAGGGCAGCAGTTATGGGAATGGAGTGGGGTGTTCCCGAGCTGTTCCGGGGGCAGAAGGGAGAATAAGGGGAGGGAGGGGCATGAAAGCCTGGGGTGTGCCCAAATTCTCCTTGAGGGCACGGCCAGGGTCTCCAGCAGAAGCAAGGACTCTCTCCCCAGGCAGGCCCCTGGGGCAAGGCAGAGGGAGGCCAACGGGCTCCCAATCCTGGACACTCAAGCTAGGGAAAGCCTCCCGCAGCGGGGACACACACACGCCGCCCAGAGGCTGCCGCGCCGGGATTTGTGTTCGGTTCTATCGCCTCATTGGGGACCCTGGGTGGAAGCCATCGGGACGACCCCGCTGCCTCCACTGACCCGGGCCCAGACTCACTGACACGGTGCCCGCAGGTGCCTGCAGGAGTCCTGGGGCCAGATAACCTCCATGTACTTCAGCACGCGGAAGCAATACAAGTGGCTGCGCTTCAGCGAGGACTGTCTGTACCTGAACGTGTACGCGCCCGTGCGCGCGCCTGGGGACCCCGCGCTGCCGGTGAGTTCTCGGCCCTCCGTGCCCCGCCTCCTCACTCTGCCACCCCAGCGCCCCGCTCAGGTCCCGGCTTTCCTCGCCCAGGTGATGGTTTGGTTCCCGGGAGGCGCCTTCCTCGTGGGCTCCGCTACCACGTACGAGGGCTCAGAGCTGGCCGCCCGCGAGAAGGTGGTGCTGGTGCTCCTGCAGTACAGGCTCGGCATCCTGGGCTTCCTGAGGTGGGCGGGGCCTGCCCGGGGGCGGGACTCCTCTGGGAGGAGGAGGCGGGGATTGGGTGTAAGGAGAGAGGCGTGGTATGGGGGTGGGCCCACGTGGAGAACGTGGCCCGGACGGGCTTGATTGACACTCTTGATGGAAAGGGCGTGGCTCGATACAGTCAACAGTCAACTCGGACCTGACTCTGAGGATGTATGGTGCCCAGACTGGGTCTACCAGCGGCATGGGAGGGCTGGGCGGGGTGGGAACCTCCTCACCTCGACTGCCGAGGGCCATGACCCTAACCTTGACTATTGCCTGCCCAGCACGGGTGACAGCCAGGCCCGCGGAAACTGGGCCCTGCTGGACCAGCTGGCGGCTCTGCTCTGGGTGCAGGAGAACATTGAAGCATTTGGTGGGGACCGGAACCGTGTGACCCTGTTTGGCCAGTCGGCGGGGGCCATCTCCATCTCAGGACTGGTGAGCTCAACGCCCCCACCGACCTGCACAGACGCAGGCTGCGTTTTTGCATAAGAGTGTCTTCCGCTGCCCTGACTCGCGTGCAGGTTTGTGCGTACGAGGACTCGCCAGTCCGCAGATCTGCCTTCGCCCTCACAGTCGAGGCTGTCTGCTCCAATCAGGGGTAGCCTGATGACTGAACTGAGCCCCGCCCCCAGAGCAAGATCTCCCCTGCCGAACCCCATCATCCATCCTCTGGGCAAGACTGGGGCCACAGGCCAGACCTGAGTCAGGAGCCTGGGTGGAAATTCATCTTTGACCCTGACTCTCGGGGGACTACTGGCCCGCAGTGTGCCTGGAATGTAGATATAAAGGTACCTGTGAGGGACACATGGCTGGGAAGTGAGCAGGGACCACATCACGTGGGGCCTTGTGGGCCACAGTGGTGACTATACTCTAACACCTGTGTGCAGGCACTCTCGAAGCACCTTACACGTCTTCACTCATTTAATTCTCAACAGTCCATAAAGAACAGCAAAGGTGTTGTCCCGTTTCCCGGATGAAGAAGCTGAGGCCCAGATAAATTAAGCAATTTTATCCAAAGTGCACTGGAGAGCAGGGAAAGATTTTAAGCAGAGGAGTTATACAATCAGTTGTGCATTTAGAGAGAGAGGTCAGTGAGTCGGAAAGATGAAAGAGCAGAGACTTGGAGAGAGACTACTCAGCAATAATGTCTATAGCTGTGGAGGCAAAGGGGGTTGGTTCTCAAAGAGAAGCAGGAAGGGTGGAGAGGATGGAGAAGATGGCTCTGTGCAATGCAGGAGCCCAGATAGACAGGACCGGAGCAGCTGGGGTGTGGGGACGAACAGAGAAGACAGGGGAGGCCCTGGGGCTGAGTGGATAACATGGAGTAAGATATCAGTACCTAGATGGGCATTGGCCAGATGGAGCAGGTGTGCTACCTGAAGTCCAAGGTATGCAAAGGAGAAGATGGGGGCCCCAGGACTTGGGCAATGGAGAGAGGCTAAGAGGTGTCACACAGGTCACTGGGGCTGTGGGCATGGTGGGGCCCCTCCCACCCAGTCATCCATTTCTTTTAAGACTTAAAAAGATTCTTTATAATTTTAAAATTGATCTGAAAGGCAGAGAGACAGACACAGAGATGGATATAGAGATTTCATTTGCTAGTTCACTCCCCAAATTCCCACTACAGCTGGGGGTTGGCCAGGCCAAGCCAGGAGTCAGGAACTCAATCTGGATCTCCCACATGGGAGGAAGGGGTCCAAGTACCCTATAGGAAGCTGGAATTGGGATCAGAGACAGGACTCAAACTCAGGCACTCTGATATGGGATGCAGGCATCCTACCACCCCCATTTCTAATATGTAACAGAGGAAACCCCCTGCCTACAAATGCCACAATCCCAGAATTCCAGAATCCCTGGGACCCATGCACAGACCAGAGGCAGGAGAGCACTGGAGGCAGGTTCACGATCCCACTCTAGGGCTCCCGACTCCCTCCCAGCTGCCTGCCCCCCCCCAAGGCTCCCTCAGACTGTCCAGCAATGGCCAGAAAGGCACCCAAGGGGCCTGACTTGCGTATCTTGAGGGTGCTCCACTCTCCACCCCTACAGATGCTGTCACCCCTAGCCCAGGGTCTCTTCCATCGGGCCATTTCTCAAAGTGGCACTGCCCTAATGAAAATCTTCATCACTCAGGAGCCACTGAAGGTGGCCAAGGTAGGTGTGTCTCCTCCTTCAGGGCTCAACAAGGGGATGCAGAACGGGGACACCCCAGAGCCCCCTTCTTCTCTCTGCAGAAGGTTGCCCACCTGGCTGGCTGCAGCCACAACAGCTCCCGGATCATGGTAGACTGCCTGAGGGCTCTGTCAGGGGCCCAAGTGATGCGTGTGTCCAGGAAGATGGTAGGTGGAGCATCCCAGCTGCTTGTGGGACACTCTCCTATCCTGGTGCCCAGCCACCCCCAGGCACTTCCCCAGAGGCCCTGTGGCAGGAACACACTGGGGAGACTTCCTGTAACTCTGATCCTTTCCATTCCCCTGCAGAGATTCTTCCATGTGAACGTCCGGAGAGATCCTTGGGAGGTGAGCAGGCTGCATTCTGTAACTGCAGTATTTGTTGAATGCCTACTGTGTGCCTGCACTCAGGGTGTGCAGGGGAATGTTCAGCCCAATAGCACTTTCCTAATGGAACTATTGTTCCAGTGGGGAGAAACCATAATCCCTAAAAGTAAATGGTATGTGAATAGCAACAGATGGGAAGGGTAAGGGGGTCAGGCCTGTTGGAAGGGGTAGCATTTTTAAAAATTTTTTTAAAGATTTATTTATTTATTTGAGAGGTGCAGTTACAGACAGAGAGATGGAGAGACAGGGAAAGGTCTTCCATCTGCTGGTTCACTCCTGAGATGGCTGCAATGGCCAGAGCTGAGCTGATCCAAAGCTGAGAACCAGGAGCTTCTTCCAGGTCTCCGATACAGTGCAGGGGCCCAAGCACTTAGGCCATCTTCTACCGCTTTCTCAGGCCATAGGCAGAGAGCTAGATCAGAAGAGGAACAGCTGGGACACAAACCAGTGTCCATACGGGATGTCGGCACTGCAGGCAGAGGCTTAGCCTACTACACCACAGCACCGGCCCCATTAAATTTTATTCATTTATTTGAGAGGCAGAGAGACAGCGCTTCCATCCTCTGGGCCACTCCCTAAAAGCCCTCAAAGGCTGGGGCTGGGCCAGGCCAAAGCTGGGAGCTGGAGTTTTAATCCAGGTCTCCAGCGTGGGTGGCAGAAATCCCTCCATCAAGGACATCACTGCTGCCTCCGAGGGCCTGCAGCAGCAGGAAGCTGGAGCCAGAAGCCAAAGCTGGACACCAAAGCCAGGCACTCTGATATGGGACAGCCGACACCTTAACTGCTAGGCTCAATGCCTGCTTCGGGAGAAGTGAAATTTTATTTTATTTTTCAAATAAAGATTTATTTATTTATTTCAAAGAATATGTTACAGAGAGAGGGGGATGGGGAGAGAATGGGAGAGCAAGAGATATTCCCTCCACCGGTTCATTCCCCAAATGACCACAATAGCTGGGACTGGGCCAGGCCGAAGCCAGGAGCCAAGAACTCCATCCAGATCTCCCACATGGGCAGCAAGGGCCCAAGGACTTGGACCATCTTCTGCTGCTTTCCCAGGTGCATTAGCAGGGAGCTGGATCAGAAGTGCAGCAGCCAGGACTTGACCCGGAGCCCATATGGGATGCAGGCTTCACAGGTGGAGGCTTAGCCCACTGCGCCACAGTGCCAGCCCTGGAGTTTTCAATAGAATGGGTAGGGCAGTCCTCAGTAAAGTAACATCTAGCAAAGATTTTCAAAGGTGAGGGGGTGAGCTATGTGGGGCAGGCATCCCAGGTGCCAGTAACCTGGTCCTGTCTGTTCTGATCCCACCCACATCCACTCTCCCAAAGTCAGCATGGCCAGCCCCAGCTTTTTCCAAAGAGCCTGGGCAGAGCACCTCTGATGAGGACCTGCTGAGCTGGGCACGTAGGGACACGGGGACCCTGGGAGGGTATGTGTGAGGACTGACAGGAAATGCCCCTTGCCTTGCAGACGACATGGCTCATGGGTGCTGTGGTGGACGGCGTGGTATTTCCAGATGACCCTGTGGTGCTCTGGACCCGGGGGCAGGTTCTACCTGTCCCCTACCTTCTAGGTGTCAACAACCAGGAGTTCAGTTGGCTCTTGCCCTTTGTAAGTGAATATAGGGGTGCTAACCGCAGTGGGGGCAGCAGAAGATGTCTCTGGGTCAGGTCCCTGTATCCCTCCAGAGGTGCCACAGTGCTGGGGAGTCTCCTGTAGTCACTGGCCGGGAAGAATGCAGGAGAGGCGGGGAGAAGAGCGACTGGTCTCTTGGAGGTCTGGGAGCTCCAGTTCCTCAGGTCATAGTGTAGAAGGGTTGTCATGTCCATTCTCAAGCCTCCGGGCAAATCCTGGGGCCCTGCCTTGCTCCTGGGTCAGGGTAGGTGGTCCAGCCCCATTTCAGCTCTGGTACAGGAGTTAGTAATGGACAGGAGGCAGGAGGCAAGAGAGGGCCATGGTCTCTTCCGGGACTGTGAGCTCTGTCTGACAACCCACTGCCGCGATGGGCAAGGCCCTTGCAGCCGGTGTGGTTCTGCTCAGAATCCCTCCCGCTGCTGAGGTCTGACCAACCCCCCGGTCCTTGTCTTATGGGCAGATCACGAAGTTCCCACTCAACGTGAACCTAATGAGAAAGAAAATCCTCACCAGGCTGCTGTGGAGTATAAGCACCCTGTTGGTGAGAGGTCCTGCAGGAGGCAGGGTGGACCCCTCTTCTTCCTTAGGGCTCCCACCCAGGGAAATGTTCTTTCTTGTGGGGTTCCAGGGGGGTTGGCATGGGATACACAAGGTCTCCAGACCGCTCTGGGGTCATGGGAGGCAGTTCTCATGCAGCAAAAACAAGGGGTAAGACCTGCCAGGAAGCTCCCCTTTCCCAAAACTCCTAGGGGGCCGAGTCTGAGTCCACCGCAGGCCTCAGGGTAAGTGTGGCCTCCCTCCCAGAATGTCACTAAGGAGCAGATACCACTCGTGATGGAGGAGTACCTGAGCAGCAGCGACAAGCATAATTGGAAGACGTACCGGAACCACATGATAGACTTAGCTGGAGATGCCACCTTCGTCTACTCCACACTGCAGGCTGCTCGCTACCACCGGGGTAGGTGGGGGACCCAGGAGTGGCCACACAGGCTTGTCCCCCTCCACTGCTCATCTACCACTCTGTACTTCTGGCTGGAGCAGGATCCCGGGGTGCCACAGAGGAGGTAGCCAGCTCTGCCCTAGGGACGGGAGCAGGGCCTCAGCTTACCAGGGAGAGAGCCTAGGATGGTGAGGGTGGCTTCCTGGCTGAGAGGATAGACTTAGGGGAACCTTGAAAGTCCTGACTGGGGCTTGGAGAACCTGTGGGTGAGAGATCAAAAGTGATGCTGGAGAGGAAAAACACCAAAGATCCTTAAATGCCAGGCCAAGAAAGGAAGCTTCCAGAAGGAGAAGAAGGCTTCTGTGATCCTTGCCACCATCACATAAAACAGGTCTCAGCTTTGCAGGCTGCAGATGAGGAATCGCAACTCAGAGGGGCTGGACAAGTTGTCCAAGGTCACGTAGCAAATGAGTAGTAAGACAGGTGTCAAGTCTGTTCCCTTGATTCTGAGGTCAGAGCTCTTTCCCCTGTTAGGAGAAGGTGGGGAGGAGGCATGGGATGGAGGGGAAGCCCAGGCTGGGGCTTTTCCTGCCGCCTTCCTCAGCTACTCTGTTCATAGATGCTGGCCTCCCTGTCTACTTGTATGAGTTTGAGCACCATGCTTCCTCTGGCATAATTATCAAACCTCGCACTGATGGGGCAGACCACGGGGATGAGATCCGCTTCGTCTTCGGAACTCCTTTCTTCAAAGGTGCTAAAGTCCAACCCGACGTCCCCAGCCTCCCCACCTATATATGCAGACCTGCCCCTCCAGCAGTGGGCCACAGGGGCCCTGCCGGTCCTTAATAGGGAATGCTTTCCCACATGGAAGTATGCTGCCATGAGGCAGAAGCAAAAAGATGCAGGTTCAGCATCCCCTGCTCCCAACTTTGTCCTAAATGCCACATTCTGTTCTGCTCCCAGGGCCATCCACAGGTGCAGAGAAGGCCCTCAGCTTCCGGATGATGAGATACTGGGCCAACTTTGCCCGCACAGGGTGAGTCTGGCTCCCTGACACATCTGGGCAGGGCTAGACCCAATGGCCAGCTGCTTCAGATGTTTGCCCTTACACGTCCCACTGGAGTGCTTCTTCTCCCTCACTTTTCTCCATCAATCATGAGATCCTCAGCCTTACTAGAATATGTCCCTTCCTGTGCCATGACTCACGCTCCCCACTCACACATCCTACAGTCACAGGCACCAGCTCTTTTGCCCAGCCCAGTACTGGGGGTTGGGACCTGAGGATGTCATGGACATGAGCCCCATTCTCCAGTAGCTCACCGCAGGAAAACATAAAATTCCAATCAGGCACAATGAGTGCCGCACCAGGGGAGCACAAGGCACTTAGAGAGCAGAGAGGAGGTGTCTGGTTCAGCCTGAGTAGACAGAGTAGGCGTCAAGAGGAGGTGACATCGGAAATGAGCTTTGGCTAGCATTGTGACTGCTTTCCTATCTCCACATCCTCTCCTTTCCATCCATTCCCCTTGTGTCCTAAAGACTTAAGGACTCTTTCTGATATAGCATCTGACCAAGTCATTCACCTGCTTAAAACTCTATGCCTTCTGCCCCCAGGATAAAGTCCCAGACCCTTAGCCTGGCAGCAAAGTCCCTTTGAAATCTTTCCTTGTCATCTCCTTCCCACATCTGTCCCTTCACACACATTCTGTTTTTACCTAACTCCATCCTTGTTCTTTATCCTAGTTTGTTTTCTGTTGCTATTTTAAAAAATACATGAGGCTGTATACTTCATAAAGAAAAGAGGTTTATTTAGCTCACAATTCTGGAGATTCAAGAGCATGGCACTGGCATCTGCTCAATGTTGCTGAGCCTGGAGGGAGCCTCATGGTGGGAACACATATGCAAGGGGGAGATGACATAGCTGGACAGGAAGCAAGCAAGATTCCAGGGCCAGGCTGGCTCTTCGTATAACAATCCATTCTCTCTCTCTTTTCTTTTAAAGAGATGAATTTATTTATTTGAAAGGTACATTTCCAGAGATAGAGGGAGAAACAGGGAGATCTTCCATCTGCTGGTTCAATCCCCAAATGGCTGCAATGGCCGGGGTTAGGCCAGGCCAAAGCCAGGAGACTCGAATTCCATCTGAGTCTCCCAAGTGGGCAGCAGGGGTCCAAGTACTTGGGCCTTCCTCCACTGCTTTCCCAGGCACTTTTGCAGGGAGCAGGATGGGAAATGGCACAGCCAGCACACAAACTGGTGCTCATATGGGATGCTGGTGTCCCAGGGGGTAGCCTGTACCACAACACTGGCTCCAACAAGCCATTCTTGTAGGAACTAGCCTGGTCCTGTGAGAACTGCATTAATCTTTCCAGCGAGTGGTACCCCATGACCTAATTACCTCCCACAAAGCCCCACATCTAAAAGGTTCTACCACCTCCCAGCATTGCCACACTGGGGACCAAGTTTTTAGCACATCAGCCTTTGGGGGGACAAACTCAAACCACATCTAAATCGTAGCAGGCTTCCTCTGAAAGCCCTGGTCTGTGAATCTTGCACACACAGTTAGCTCTGCATGGAAGGCCTGCCCCACCACTCACGTTCCTGCTTCCTTACAGACCTAAGTACCATCTCTGAAAAGCTTTCTCAGACCCCAGCTCCTAAGGGGAAAGAAAATGAAGGAAGAGTGAGAGAAGGCGTCAAAATGAAGAAGACTAATTCTCACTCCTTTCTCCTCCTGGACAGAAATCCCAATGATGGGAAGCTGCCCTACTGGCCACGCTTCGACAAGGATGAGAAGTACCTGCGGCTGGATCTTACCACGCGTGTAGGGGTGAAGATCAGGGAGAAGAAGATGGCCTTTTGGAGTAGGCTGCACCAACCTCAAAGAACTGAGAAGCAGAGGCTGTTCTGAGAGTGGCTACATAGGAGGGAGCTTGTCCCGCATGGCTTTGGGAAGACTGGTCATGAACACATCAGGGGTCAAGAGTCCTGTATGTGCCCATCTAGGGCCTGCCAGAGCTCCCTACTGCCCTCAGGTCAGAGCTGCAGCCTTAGCCTGTCCCACCCCCTCCAGCCTGACATCCCATGATGCCCCCTACCTCACTGTCTATATCAGGCTAGGCCAGGCCCAGCTCCCCAGCCTCAGGAAGACTCCCCTTCTCTCTTGTCCAAATCCTCCTACCCTGCAAGATCTACTTGCACCCCTTCTTACTGGAAAGTCCCTCCAGATGGCCACTGTCCATCATTGCACCCAGCTTGTCATTTACTGTCCGTCCTGCTCAACCTTGTGCTTATTCACATTGGCCTTGAGGCCCTGGGCAGGGTTTTTTTTGTTTTGTTTTGTTTTGTTTTGGTGATTGTAAGCAAAGTTTTCATAACTTGGGCTCTTCTTCCCTGCCTACACTCATCCCTGCCCCACCCCCCCATGACCAAAGTCCTCCCAAAGCCTGCACACAGGGATGTCTTCAATAAAGACATGTTGACTTGAGCTTGATTTCTCCGTCTGTAAAAGGTTTGGGTGGAGAGGTTAGTGTCTCCGTTTGAGCCCTTGGAGGAGGGGTGGCTTGTTGGGTGCTCCCTGCTGGAGCTGTGCCAGTATGCTCCACTCTGTCAAAGGGTACTGCAGCAAAGATACCTGGGCTGCAAAACACTTGGCTTTTTTTTTTTTTTTTTTTTTTTTTTTTTTGCCTTGTGTCAAGAACGCTGCCATGCCCTGTGCTCTGTTATCCATCAGCTTAGGTCTCAGTGCTGCCTCCATTTTTTTTCATTGTGTCAAGAACACAGCCAGTTCATCAAGACAGCCCTGCCCCGTGCTGTTATCCATCAGCTTAGGCCTCAGTGCTGCCTCCAGACTCCTCACTCTCTGTCCTCTCTCCTGCAATTCAACCTGCATTTCCTGGCCTGTCCCAGTCTCCCGGCTTTTTGTTTTTGTTTTTTTTAAAGATTTTTAAATTTATTTATTTGAGAGAGAGAGTTACAGACCGAGAGACAGGTCTTCCATCCGCTGGTTTACTCCCCAAATGGTCACAACGGCCAGAGCTGAGCCGATCCGAAGCCAGGAGCCAGGAGCTTCTTCTGGGGCTCCCACACAGGTGCAGGGGCCCAAGGACTTGGGCCATCCTCTACTGCTTTCCCAGGTCATAGCAGGGAGCTGGATCGGAAGAGGAGCAGCTGGGACAGGAACCAGGGCCCATATGCGATGCCGGTGCTGCAGGCGGAGGCTTTACTCGCTACGCCACAGCACTGGCCCACAGTTTTTGTTTTATTGCCTTGGTTTTTTTGTAGGGTTTTTGTGGGAGAATCAGCAGGAAGTTGGGATCAGAAGCACAGCCAGGACTTGAACCCAAGCATTCCAACATGGGATGTGGGCATCCCAAGTGCTGCACCAAAGGCCCACCCCTTGTGTCTGGATTTATTTCACTTAGCACATTGTCTTCCAGCTTCATCCATGTCGTTGCCCATATCAGAATGGCACTGCTTTCTAAGGCTGAATGACTTTCCATCATATACATGTGCACATTTTGTTTATTCATCCACTGAAGGGCATTTGGGCTTCCACCTTCTGGCTGTTGTGAATAGTGCACAGATATGATCATTAGCGTCCCATCAGTTTTATGTCCCAAGCCACAGTTTTGATTTTGTCCTTTGTTCCTAAGAGTTCCTGAGTTCCTGGGACAAGTGGAAGCTTCATAGACCTGTGGGATGAGGGATACCCAATCCTCCATACCCCAGTCTCTGAGCTCCCAAAATAAAGTGATGGCTAGAGGAGGGGGAAAGCCTTGCAAGTATATACTTATCCTCACAACAACCCTGTCGTGTGAGGACTATTATCCCAATTTTACAGATGAAAAAACTGAGGTGCAGAGACTTGCCCAAAGTCGTGAGCTAGTGGTGGACAGCAGGGTGGGAGTTTGATGCAGGTCTGTCTGACCCACCCTGCCACTTGCATCCAGACCTGGGCCAATCCCTGAGTGAGGTATGGCCATTATACTCTCAAGGGAGGCACTGCCCATAGAAAAATCCCTGCCCATCTCTGCCCAGTTAAAGGGCAGCAAATAGCCCCTCACCCATGGGAGCCTGGGTGAAGGCTAGGAGTTCGGCACTCCGGAAGGTGATCTTGGGGCAGCCTGTGCTGTTGAGGTCCAGCTGGGCCTGATTCACCTGTCCTGGAGGTCCTGGATACTGCCACTACAGTCCCAGCCTGCTCCGGGCCTGCCCCTGGGGACTCCTCATTTCTCCCCTGACATAGATTGGCCAAACCCGACACAGACTCCTCTGAACTCCTTTTCAACCAGGCCTGAGTTTGGGGCTTCCATGTTCATCTCAGTATTGAACCCCCCAATACTCCACAAGCATCACCCTCCATATCTAATTGACCCACCCACTGACCCACCTGTTTCTTGGCTATGCCACCCACCCTTTTCTTGGCTGTGCCTCCCACCTGCCTGTGCTATCTTGGTAGTTAAGCCCAATCCCTCTGCCTCCTATAAAACCCCATCCACTGGCTCTCCAATGCCTATTTCCACGGTCCTCACTGTGCCTTACAAGTGTCATGAGTGACTTCTATACCAGCCCCTCTCAGGCTCCCACACGCAGATCTATCAGCTTCTCCAAAGAGCTACCTGCCTGGACGCAAATCTCCCCCAAATCAGAGGAAGCGCAGTGCGCAGGATCCGGGGCCAACACGGTCCGCCCGCTACGGCAGAGGTGAGACTCATAAAAGACTTTGGGGAACCCTGGGACCTGCCTTAGGAACTCGCGTATGGCAGAATTTTCGCAGGCAGCCTGGACTGCGGGCTGCCCCCACCTAACAGCCCCTGCCCCACTCCTATCGGATCCGCGCAGGAAGATGCCCCCTCTTCCTGTCAGCTCCTCCCCAGGCTGCAGTGCCAGAAAAAACGGCCGGGGACGGCTACCTACAGCCCTGTCTCCACTTTGTCTCTGGGTGGCCGCACTAGTGCAAAGCTGGCGTGGGCACAGCGCGCAACGCGACCTTGCAGCCCCGGCACCCAGCCCGGACTGAGCCAGGCTCCCGGCTCCAGAGCGATGCCCCTTCCCCTCCCGCGAAGCACCCTCACCTCCCATCCCCCGAAGCAGCAATTACAGGCCAAGGTGGCTGGGGAAGGGCCAATTAGTGCGGGAGACGCAGCCCTTCGGTAGGGCTGGGGCTGACCGCAGCCCCCGCAGCCCCGCCGCCCCTGGCCCTCGGCCCCCGCCGCTCGTCAGCCGCCCTCCCGCCCGCCGCAGCCCTCCCTGCCCGGCAGACAGCGTCGGCTGCCTGGGAGCCCCCGGGGGACGCGCCGTCCGGCCGCCCGCCAACTGCGGTGATAGCTCCAGCGCCTGGCGCGGGGCCAGAGTCAGGCGGACGCAAGGGCGTCTGGAGCTGAAAGCCGCTGCCGCTGGGTGGTGGCGGCGCGCGCTGGGGCCTCCTGCAGGGACTCCGGCGCCCCCGCACGGCCTGCGCCCGCCGTCAATCACCTGGGCGCCGAGGAGCAGGGCTGCCCAGGCTCCGGCAGGCATCTACCCTGATCCGGGCAAGGGCTGGCTCTGCCCGAGACTTGATGTCTTCTCATGCTCTCTCATCACTTCTTCGAGACCTCCAAGGCTTGGGTCTGGGCCCAAGTTCCCTGGTTAGTGGTAGCTATGGGAGGGCCGGGCCTTAGAACCCCACTGCTGCTGCTGAATGGTGTCGACTGGGCAAGGAGGTGGCAGCACACGGCCACAGGCTCTCACCACTGACCAGTGGATGTGTGTGGACTCCCTCCCCTGGTGCCCAGCTCTGCACAACCTGGCTCACCCACCTGTAGGCTCTGAAAGACCCAAGAGGGTGGACCCTGCTGCCTTTATTTTATTTTATTTTATTTTATTTTTGACAGTTAGACAGTGAGAGAGACAGCGAGAAAGGACTTCCATCCATTGGTTCACCCCCCAAATGGATGCTACAGCTGGCGCACTGCGCCCATCTGAAGCCAGGAGCCAGGTGCTTCTCCTGGTCTCCCATGCGGGTGCAGGGCCCAAGGACTTGGGCCATCCTCCACTGCCTTCCTGGGCCACAGCAGAGAGCTAGACTGGAAGAGGAGCAACCGGGATTAGAATGCAGCGCCCATATGGGATGCCAGCGCTGCAGGCAGAGGATTAACCAAGTGAGCCATGGCGCCGCCCTAGGCCCTGCTCTTAAAGAGCCTACAGGCTGCATGGACAGAGGCACCAGCGGCGTACCAGGAACTTGAGGCCATAAAAGCCCTGAGATTGAGGGAGGCCTTACCTGGGAGCAGTGCAGAGCCAGGAGCCTCTGATGCAAGGCTTCACCTTCCCCCAGCCAATTCCCCCTGCAGCTGCAGTTGGACACACTGGGGCCCTGGAGGGAGGGGCAAGATGGGCCTATGCCCAGGACATGCCCTCTGTGGGTGAGGCTGAAGTTTCTAGAAGAAGCAGTGGGAGAGGGTTCAGTAGGAAGGTCTACACACATTTCCCCATCAGCGTTGGAGCTGCTGAGACTCCTGACCAGCCCTGGAGGCGGTGGTCTTGTCTGTTCCTCCTCCCTGCACACTGCCCCTCGCAGGTCTGGCCTCGTGGTAAAGTGCTGGAGGCCTACTCTGTGCTCTGGAAGCTCACCCAGGGCCTGTTGGAGGAGAGGAAATCACTTCTCTAAACAGTGAGAACTCCCCTTGCACACCTACCAAGGTCGGTAACTGTGGAAACAGCCCATGACACTGAGCAGTGAAGGGAGCTAGGGACAATGGCACCATGAATACTTCATGGGATAAGGTGCCAGTGCTCTGAGGAAAGGGGTGGAGATGAAACAACTGGCCAAGGACATCACAGGGTAGAAGAAGGGGAAGCCAGTGGACACACACAGCCAGACAGGCAGAAGGACAGAGAGCCAGAGAGAGCAGTGCTCCAGGCTGGGAGGGGGCAGTTGGAGCAGAGGGCTCAGCTGGAGCAATGGCCTGGAGGTAAGCATTGTCTTGTTCAGTTCCAGCAGCTTGTGGCAGGGTGATCCACGTAGAAAGGCTGACAGAGGGGGCCGGTGCTGTGGTGTAGCAGGTTGATGCCCTGGCCTGAGGCACCAGCATCCCCAGTGGACACTGGTTTGAGTCCTGGCTGCTCCTCTTCCAATCCAGCTCTCTGCTGTGGCCTGGGAAAGCAGTGGAAGATGGCCCAGGTCCCTGGGCCCCTGCACCCACATGGGAAACCCAGAGGAAGCGCCTGGCTTCAGATCAGCGCAGCTCTGGCTGTTGCGGCCAATTGGGGAGTGGGCCATCGGGTGGAAGACCTCTTTCTTTTTTTCTCTCTGCCTCTCCTCTCTCTGTGTAACTCTGAGTTTCAAATAAATAAATATTTTTAAAAAAGAAATAAAGAAAGGCTAACAGGAAGCAGGGCCCAGAACTAGGGCACCAGGCCTGTAGCCTGGGAGAGAGCACAGACTACCCTGAAACCCTGGGGAATGACAGGAGAGGCATGTCCCTGTCAGATTTCCTTCCAGAA